GCGGCTGAAACCGCAGCCTTCAGAGGGGCGTGGGGGCAGGGGGACAAGGCCTGGCTAGTCTATGGCTCATCGGGCCTGCTGACCTGTCCGAGTCTGAAAGGGGCCGAGCCGGCCAACAACGACTGGGTTAATTGAGGCCTGCAGAGTTCTAGGATCATCATCTAATGTTCACACTGGCTGAGACTCACAGACAGTGACGGGCCCGGTTCATACCGGCTGAGGCCAGGATTTGAACCCGGGCAGGACAGTTCAGAGTGCCAGCCCCAGTTCTGGCACTTTGTCTACACCCTGTAGGGCTCCAACTTGACATTGGCCTTGGGCACAGAACACCTTCAGATCACCTGAAACATGAAGCATCTCTGTTCCGCCACACAGCCCGCCCTGGAGGCACCACCCCTGCGGCTCATTCACGGAGCTGAGGGGAAGCGGCTGCCCTCACCTGGTGACAGACTAGCTGGGGTTCTGGGAACCACTGGCCTGGAAAACCTGAATATCCAGTTGGAAGGAGAAATCCAACCCAAAGGGTGGGCCCCCCTGAGCTGCCCCCTCAGCACCACCTCCTGGATCCAGCCCTGGAAACAGGAACAGCTGCAGGTGGGGGATGGGACGGCCTCCCAGAAGCGGCACACCCAGGTCACCGCCTCCCAGGGATCCTGCTCCACCTGTCGCCCCTGGGACAGCCCCGCTGGAGAGGGGTGGACACAGCCCAGGGGCTCTGATCCTGCCTCCTGCGGAGGGTCAGCTGGCAGGCTCTGCTGGGACCTCCCTCTCTGGGCACCAGCCAGGTGCCCCAAGACCATTTCTTGGTCTGGGGGGGTCAGCAGGAGGGTTTGGCAAAGTTCCCTCCCAAATGCCACTTCCCTGACTCACTTCCTCCCCTAGGTCTTCAGGACTTGACATCCAGGTCCAGGGGTCATGAGGGAGCAGCAGGGCTGGGGAGAAGCCAGCCTGGGGCCACAGGGGACCCAATTCTCTCAGCAGAAGCCAAGAACTCAGAGGTCAAAGCCGTCCAGCCCCAGCTTTGCTGCCTCCAGCTGGGATGGAAGGAGCGGATTCTGGGGCCACGGCCTGCAGGGAGGCTGGGCTCCTGGGGAGGAAGTTCCGGTACCAGGAGGCTGAGGGGTGCCCTTCTCCCACCTGCCTACCTACTTCAGCCCCAGCTTTGTATGTAACTGTCTTCATTTGAGAGTCAAAGCTCATTGAAACCAGAGTCTCGTCCATTACACACATGTTCTGGTGGCTGTCTACTCACACCGGCCAATGATCCAGGAGGAAGACCCTGACACCACTGAAGCCCCAAAGTTTGGAGGGCCCTTAGCCTGAGGCTCAGCCTGCCAGAATCAGCACTGGGCAAGTAGACCTGAAGGGGGCCCCAGAGCCCATCTAAGCCCAGCTGGAGCTCAGAGATGGTGCGTGATTTGCCCAAAGTCACACAACCAGTGAGCGACACAATGAGACTAACTGGAACAGGGCAGAACACACAGGAAGCTGAGCCTCTGAGGGACAAGGGCTTTGCCCCTTCCTAGGGTGAGGGAACAGGGAAGGTGCTAGTGCCTGACCAGCGGGAGACCCAAAGACCTCTACCAAGAGCTGCTACTAGGTCAATTCCATGTCTAAAGTGGGGAGAGAGCCAGGGAAAGGGGAGTCTGGAAAGCTCAGGTGAGGAAGTGGGAAATCTCCCACTGGCCCAACTTCCCTCTTCCCAGTTGGTCACAGAATTTCAGGGTGAGACCCCCAGCTCCTTCCTTGACTGGAATCCTCTCTCCAGCATTCCTCTCAAGTGGTCGCTAACCATGTGCTTGCACACTCCCCATGATGGGGAGCTCACTACTTTTCAGGCAATCAGTGCCATCTTTGGACAACTTACATGGTCAGTACTTTAGGATTTCTGAGCCGACATCAGCCTCCCAGGAGCTTCCTGGGGGCCATCAGATCAAGGCTAATTCTGCAAAGAGGACAAGACATCCTGGAGGTAAACAGCCCCAGGCCCTTCCTCCTTGGACTCTTCACCACCTGGGTGCTCCCCTCCCTCCACTGCTCAGAACAGACAGTAATCCTCCAGGCAGGGGGCAATGGGACACAGCAAAGGGACGCCAACACCTCCTCTGTTCTAGAGGCATCTCTGACCTCATGAACGCTGGGCAGTTTGGCCATAGCTCATTCTTTTGAAACGTATTTTCATGAAAACTCCCAAGGCGTGCTCAGAGATGTTGGTAATCCGCCAAGGTAAGTAGAGATGAGAGAGAGAGTCACAGAAAGTGATAAATCATTCACCCGGTGCATGCCGTGTGTCAGTCCAGGGGGTCATGGGTCCCCTCGAGTCTCCTACTCTCAGATTTAGCTGGGGCTGAGGCCGAAGGATTTAGCCACAAAATCCCCAGCAAACAGCTGAAATGGGAGCCCCTGGACCAACAGCCCTGTCAGCCCCTTTCTTGTAGGTCTTTCCAGATCTAACACCGTACTCTAATCTCATTTCTCTTTTTCTTCCCTCGTCTTCCCAGGAATATCAGAACCTGCCACTCATAGAGAGTTTTTTAGTTCTCAAAATCGTTTCACGTTCCCTATCTCATTTGATCTCAAGAATAATCTTGTGATTGTTGGTGGTAGGAGATGGGTTATTTCCCCATTTCACAGGGGGAGAAGCTGAGCCTGTGAGGATAAGCTAGTGAAAGGCTTGGTAGCCTGAGCCATGTCCCCTCCTCCCCCCCCCCCCCCACCCTCCTTTTCACTCCTGGCTTAGGTACTTCCCAGCTGCTCTGAACTACTTCCTACAAGGCGGGTCACCCACAGGCCCCTAAGATTAAAGGTTCAGGAGCAGGTTTACCTGAATGGTATACAAAGCAAATGAGATGCAAAACAGCACACCGCCACTGAACCCCATTTTGGGTAACTGAGCTAGAACCTCAGACCCTCCCTTTTCTCCGTTCTGCCAACGCTCAGAGGATGAGGATGAGCTGAGAACCTTCCTGCTTTCTCCCCACCCCTCTCCCATCACCAACCACACTGGGTGCAGCCTGGAACAGCTTTCAGGAGCCAAGAAGATAATGTGGAAGATGGAGGGTGTTGAGAGATTGGGGTGACGAGGAGGAGTACTCAGTTCCCTTGTCGTATGACGTAACCAAGCAGAGACTCCACTGCAGATAGCTAACATAGACAAGCTGACTCCCAGGACCCTGAGGTCCTCAGAGGAGCTACATACAGCTTATGAGCAGCACGAAGTTCAGGGACCAGGGGTCCAGAAGCCCAAATGTAGGTGCGTAGTCAGGCAACGGCAAAGGCAAAACCATAGTCCAGGGGTCCGGCTTCCTGGACCAGCGCTCTGAGACTGACTGTTGTATGACCTTGACAAGTCCATTCCCTCCCTGGTCCTCAGTTTCCCCAGCTCTATAACGAGGGGCAGGGCTAGCTGCTCCAAGCCCCCAAGGGCCGACACTCTTGGATTCCATGATATCGTGGAAGGATCGAGCCAAACGATCTTTAACAAGAAGGGTGTCTTGAGTTCCCTGGCTCCGGCTTCCTCGAAGCTTGTTTCTGTACAGTCCTCAGTTCACAGGGTTAACTGTCCACCCACCACAGGGGGCCCTTACACTTGAGGCATGGGCATAATTGCTCCCTTGATTTGCAAGTCCTCTGCCTGGCCACCCGAGACACCACGACCATGCCGTGGCCACAGCAGCCAGCCTCAACTGTACAGGGAAAGGATGTATACTCATAAGCCAAGGGGACAACCTCTGGACTCCGGTAACAAGTGACCAATGCAGGCTGGATGGCGGATGGCACTTCTGTGGGGCTGGGCAAGAAGTGAAGCTGCAGAGAAGTCGCACCATCTCTGATTTAACCCTTTAGTGACCCAGAGAAAAAGAGAGATCCCCAAAGATACTTTTTTATGGATACTCCATTGCTCGAGTTTCAAACATCTATGTAACCGCCCTAGTTACACAAGCACACATCCACAAAACACACACACTGAGCATACACACACCAGGCACATATGTACAAATACTCGAAATGGGAAGAAGACGTGAGGCTGGGATTCAGAGACCTGGCATTTGAGACCAGCCTGTGCTGGGCATCTGCTGGATGACTATAGACAAGCCCCGCTAGTCTGAGCTCATCTGTGAAATGGAGACACACCACCACGTGCCTCCCAGAGCTGCAATGGAGATCAAGGGAGCTGCCGTGAGTAGGTTTTGAAAGCTCTAAGAAAGCTCTTGAGCTGTCTACACTTAATGGACCTGAACCATGCTGGGGGACCGGGGTCAGCAGTCAGAAAGGCAGCCTGATGTCTTAGAAAGGGATTTGGGGCATGTCAAAAGGCCTGCTTTTCCACCCAGCTTTGCTTTCTTCTAACTGGGTGATGTGAGCAAGTCCCTTCCTCTTTCTGGACCTCCCTTCCCCCATCTGTGAAAAAGCGGATTCAACCCGGGAATCCTGACATCCTCCACCAGTGAGGGCCTGTTGCCAGAGTGAGGTCTGCCTCTCCTCCTGAGGCCAGGGCAGTGAGGATCGCCTGCTTGCCAGTGCTTCTTGCCCAGAGAAAACAGGGCGGCAAGGACCCTTTTCAAGAAGGGCAGAGCACAGCAGGAGCCAGCCTCCCCAAAAAACAGGCTGAACAGGATCTCTGACTGCCCTGGGGCCCCGGGCAGGTGTGCGGGTGGGCAACCGAGCCCAGTACACGGGGTAGACGCTGAAGGAACGTAGCTAATGGGTAAATGCCCCTTCTGTACCCTGCGGATCAGCCCTGGAGAGGGACTGGGGCAAGGTGGCAAGTGCGGGCAAGTTCGATTCTGGGATGCCACCCAGTGCACCCTCGAGGAGCCTCGTGCCTCGCTTTCCCAGGCTCCTGCACGCATCCGGGAGGGCAGGGCATCTCCCGGGCGCCGCGCGGCATCGGCTATGGGTGGTGCGCCAGAGCCCCTCCTGGAGTCGCATCGCCCCCGCCCCGGCGCCGTCTCAGGGGCTCACCGGTGCGCGCCCACGGCCCCGGGACGCCTCCTTACCCAGAACTTGGAGCTGAGCTCCCCGGAGCCGCACAGGGCGTCCATGGGGCCGAAGCGCGGCGGCGAGGAAGGTAGGCGCGGTCGGCTACCCAGCCCGAGACAAGCCGAGCGACCGCCCGGAGCCGCCCCCGTCCCCGCGCTCCGCCCCGGTCCCGCCCCGCCGAGCTGTCCTCCCAGGGCCTTTGGGATGAATTCTCGCTTTTCCGCGAACTGCGACAGCGCCTGCCTGAAACTGGGGTTCCGGGAGGGACTTTGGGACAAGAGTGGGGGCCATGGACACAGTGACATCCCCTTCTAGTGGCCACTAGGCCACGCAGGAGAGACGCCCCTCCACAGACCGAGGCTGACGGGGCTGGAGCAGGGTCTGTTGGTCTGTTTCGCAGCGGCACACAGCTGCTTCGCCGCGCTCAACGCCGCGCTCAACGCCGTTGGGGCCTGATGGGTCCAGAGACAGGGAAAGGGGCGTAGCAAGACTCCCTCCATGAATAAATCCTTAATGAGGTCACGTTCATCTCTGTGCACGTGTCTCCTCATCTGTGAAATGGGGAGAGCTCGTGTGCTCAGACAATCCAGAAGACTGCCTCTCTGCCCCGTAAGTTCCTGGAGAACTGGTAGACACAAACACATAATGTGCGCATGTGTGCGCGTAGGTACCCAAGGAGAGGAGGATGGAAGGGGGTCCCAGCATCATCCAGATGGTGGCTTCCTATGATTCTCTTAAATTGCTGCCTTCCTGCGGTCCTGCGGCTCCCTGATCTTGTGACTGTTGCTTCAGCACCACTCCGTGCCTCCACTTTCACTCCTGTCAGACAGGGATAATCATGGGACCCATCTCACAGGGTTACTCTGAAGATTTAACGGGGAAGATGTGTGCAGCATCCAGCATGTTGCCTGGCACATTTAGTTAATTTCCTCCCCTTCAGCCTGCTTGGGGTTGGAGGTGGGCAGGGGAGGCCCCAGGAAGAGCCCCACATTAGCAGCCTCTTCCTGAGGCTGTCTCCATATTCCCGGTCTGTAAAAGGGGTTTGCTTCCCCAGGTTGGCCATGCTGGGATCCACCCTCCCACTCCCTTTGCAGCTCTGGCCCATCCCTGCCCTGTCCTCCCCTCCCCAACCTTGTCCCTGTCTGTGGAGTCTGCCCAGGCTCACCCTGGGAATCCCTTCCCTGGCACTTGTTCTCAAGAAAAGGTGTGTTCTTCAAGGGTGCCCATGAGCAGGCGTGGTGGGTGCCAGCAAGATTGCACAGAAGCGGCCAGCCACGGCATGTCCCTCTGGGCAGGCAGGAAGTCACGCGAGGAAGTTTCTTCGGCCAAGGGCTACCAGAACAGAGATCTGAGCCAGCACGGGGTGGGGTGTGGGAGCAGGGTGCACAAGCCTCCCCTTTCTCAGGCTGTGGGGCCAGGGGCCTCTCCCCTCCACTGGGCAATCCTCCCAGCCCTTCGTCTGCCCCCATCCCCTCCACTCACGCGGTCACACCCCCCAAACCCCATCTCTGAACCAAAGACTTTACAGAGCTTTCAAACTCCTGTCACGGCTTGCCTTGGGTTATATTTAGTTGTGAAGAATCTGTCTTCCCTGCCTGTCTTGGAGGTCCTCAAGGGCAGGGATGGACTGAGTCACTTTCAATCCCCCTCCATGCCTTGGGCAGTCCCTTCTGTATACTGTGTGACCTCAACAAGCCCCTTGATGTCTCTGGGAGTCAGTTTCTTCAGAGCCACTTGGACAAGATGCCATCTAAGGTCTCTTCCAGCCATGGTGTTCTAGGCTTCGATGGTCAGCAGCTGGGAATCCCCTCCAACCCGTCCTCTAGTTCAGGGCCAGGACTCTTGGCTTCTGTCATCAGCCTTGGGGCTGAAGCACCATCCCCTTTGGCCCCAGCCTTCTCACTTTGGCAGTGGAGAGCCCTTCCCAAGCTGCGGCGTTGGGTGGGAGCTCTGAGGTCATGAGGGGAGATCTTGGCAATCCTTGCCTCCTCCCATCTCTCCTGAGGCATTCACTGGGCCTTTGCCCTTCCTGGCCCCTCAGGGGATGTGGCCTGTTTCCCACAGCCCTTGATAATAACCACAATATTCCTAGGACATCATGGTTTGGGTTGTTCTCAGCAGGGCAAGAAAATTGAGGCCCTGAGACACTTCATCCTGGAAGAGGCAGGATGAGCTCCACACCTTCTGACTGCTGGGCTGCTTCCATGCAGCCTCCTTGGGCAGGATGCATTTCCTGTGTCCTTACCTGTTGCACTCAATGCCCCTGGGACACCTTCAAGGTTGCTTGCAGACTCTTCCTGCTATACCTTACCTCCCTTTCTTTCTTTTTTTAAAAATATTTTATTTTTCCTTTTTCTCCCAAAGCCCCCCCAGTACATAGTTGTGTATTTATTTTAGTTGTGGGTCCTTCTAGTTGTGGCATGTGGGACACCACCTCAGTATGGCTTGATGAGCGGTGCCATGTCCACGCCCATGATTCGAACTGGAGAAATCCTGGCCCGCCAAAGCGGAGCGCATGAACTTAACCACTCGGCCACAGGGCCGGCCCCCCTCACCTCCCTTTCTGCACCTGGCAAACTACTCATCCTTGAAGAGTTTGCTCAAGCCCCACCGCCCCTTGAAGGCTTCCTTGAACCTCCTCACCCCAGTCCTGGGCTAGGGACCCTCCCCCTGCAGGGCCCTGCTCGCCCTCCCTGTATTGTACTCACTGATTACTGGCTTACCTCCCCTAGGCAACCGTGGACACCTTAAGGATAAGGACCAGCTCTTGTTTATTGCTTTATCCTCAGGACCCAGGACAGAGCCTGGCAAAGTTGGTCCTCAGGAAATGTTTGTTGACTGACTAAATAAGTATCTCATGTCCTTAGGAGAGGTCATAAGCAGCGAGGCCACTGTTGCATTAGGTACAGTCCCAGCAGTGGGCACTGTCCACTCTGCTTTTGAGTTTTCAGAACCAAGATGTTTCCAGCTGGAGGCTCCTGAGAGGAGCAGTAAAGACCTGTGGCTTGGGCTGCAGTAGAGAGAGGAACAGAACCTCCCCCAGCTTCAGCAGCCCCAGCCCCACCCTCCCTTCCACTGACTGCAGCTCCAGGCAGGATGGACAGAGCGCGTGCTGTGCCTTCCCCGCCAGTGAGCATCCCAGGGGGACGCAGCATTGGGGATTTCCTGGCAGGGAAATGGAAAGATAAGATAATTGCAAGGTACAGCTCCGAGCAGGAATGACTGCAGAGAGAAGAAAGCAAAGCAAGGGAGGGACCGGGAGACCCAGAGGCAGGACATACTGCAAAACTGAGAGTCAGGTGGGAGCTGACAAAAGGGGGAGGGGCGTGGACGAGCAAGGGCAGGCTGCCAGCTTTCCCATCCACTCACTGCCTGATTCCTTTTAGCCCCTTATGGCTCCTCGAAGGGCTGGAGCACCCCCAAAGCAGCCTCCAGCTCCCAAACTCCAGCCTCCCCCTTCTCTCCTCCCGTGCAGTGGGGCAGGAGCTGTTTCCTCCAGACCCCAGCCTGGTGGGGGCCACACTGGCCCCACTCCACTCCTGGCCTCGGCAAGGCTGCCCCTCCGCCCCCGATTTACGGGTGATCTGATTTAGCGTGCACGTGAGCGCTGGCTGCTGTGCCCGACTCATGAGTTTGCAAAGCAAGACAAATTAATTAGCTCTGCGGGCCACAGTCAGCAGTTCCCACACCTGGACGAGGGCTAAGACACGCAGAATTCCGAAGTTCTTAGCAGCATTCCCTCTTGGGCATTTGCTGGAGCTGCAACCCCCTTATGTAGCTTGCTGTGCCCTCAGAGCAGGGCGCCAGCCCACGACTAAACTAGCTTTTGAGAGGTAATTCCCTTTCTGGCAACCCCTGTCCTGGATTAGTCCTGGGTCCACTGGCCTTAGGCAGGGATCATTGGGACATGGGCTCAGCGCTCCAAGGGCCAAGATTCCCCACGCACAGCCAAATCCTTCACTGGGCCCTGTGAGCCTGTTTCCTCTTTTGGGGGGCTACACAGGGCACCTGTCCATAGAAGATGTGCTTCAGTGTTGACGTCCTCTCCCTGGCTGGGCACCTCTCAGAAGGGTCACCAGGGTGGTGCCAGGTGAACGTGCCCTGTGCTGCCACCTGGTGTCGGATGCCCACACCGCACTGCTGTCACAGCCCCCGACGTTGCGCCACTCAGCTGTCCCAGAAAAGGGGTGAGGAGGCCATGGGGCACCAGGCTGTGATGGGTGGGGACTGCGGGTGACAATGTAGGTGAAAGCTGTTTGGAAAGTGGGAGAGGTCTGGGTGGGGTTAGGGGAGAGGACAGGAAGCAAAGAGGTGGGAGGAGGAGGTGGAGAGCAGGTGGTATGGGGTTCAAGGGCAGCCTCATGCCAGGGAAAGGTGGTGCCTGGGAAACTGGGTTATTGCAGAGCCAGCCCTTGGCCAAGCCCTTGGAGCTGAGGGACAGCTTCTCTTGTGGTTGAACCTCTCTCCCCACACGAGGTGGAGGGCTGTGGCCTCCTCTCAGCCTCTGAGTATGTCAAGCTGGGAGCTCATGTGTTCATTTCTATGAACACAAATGTGACTGCTTTGGAAAAGGCCTCCCTGGCAAGTCATTTTGTGATCAGGATTCCTGGCACCATGTCCCATTCCCTCCACAGTGAGAGGAGACCGGGGTAGTGTGAAGCCAATGAGCTAAAAGTTGACCAGACCTAGGATCAATCCCAACTCAGCCTTGTCCTGGCTGTGTGATCTTAGGCAAGTCACTTAACCTCTCTGAATCCATTGCCTCATGGATGAAAAATGATTGCCATGGCACTTCCCTTGCTAGGGTGTTGTGAGGAGTAAGCGAGAGACTGCAGATGAGCCTCAGATTTGTTTTTAGCACCAGCTCAGCTCACTCCTCTTCCTAGTCCCCCACCCCCAGACAGACCTTTTCCTGGAGTCTTGGGGTGGAGGAAGCTGAAGCAGCCAAGCCCGCGGTGGGGGCCTGCAACTGTTGACACAGTTTCCTCTGAACCCCCGAGGAGAAGGTTGGGAGCAGAAGTGCCAGGGTGGATGTTCTTACCTCCAAAAGCCCCGCATCCCTGAAGCTCCTGGCCAGTCCCAGCTCTGCCCTGGAGGCCCGAATGCAAGACCTGCTGCCTCCAGCAGCCCCTCCCCACCCCAGCCTCCTCCAGCCCTTCTCCATTCCCTGCTCCTCGTGTATCGTGGAGCAGAATCCAATAACCATCCAGACAAGCATCATGAAGTTAGCAGCATCGTTATTATTACTACTGTTAATAAGATTCAGCAGCATCATTATCTCCACTTCAAAACTCTTTTAATGAGACACAACAGTTTCCAGCACGGAAAAGATTTCACATTGTTGGGGGAGATTGTTAAGGGAGAGGCCACAATTCTCTCCCCCAAAATATCCACTTTGACTCTGGGGGGGTCCTGGTGGGGAAAGCTTGGATGGAGGGGAGGGGGTGACACCTAGCTCTCTGGCTTCATCATGACCTAGAATCCTCCAACCATTAGAAGAAAGACAGACCCCCGAGCCCCCTCCCCGAATCTCCCACCCTCATGAGGAATAGACAGCTACAGAATTCTACAAAAATAGAAAAGCTTAATCTGCGGCCCCAGGTGACAAAGCTCCAGGAATTTTGTAGTTTGCTTTATATATAAAAACAGGCAGCTCCTACAAGCACCCCTCTCTCCTCATCCAAGGAAGCCAGAGGAAAAAAAAGAGTCCCAGGCTATTGCAGATGCCAAGAGGACAAAACCAGCTGTTTGCTTCAAGGAGTGGTGTGTCATTTCTGTCCAAAAGAGCGATTAGAAAACCTTTCACCAGCTTAGAGAACAGGGGGTTGGACAAAGCCTCAGGCCATCCACCCAGCAGCCTGGCACCCTCGGCTCCCAGGTTCAGATGGGGCCGTGTGTGAGGGCTGTGGAGCACAGCAGAGGTGAGCTAGCCCAGCTGCCTGTGAGGTTTCAAGAGTCCCGGAGTTTGAAGGTGCTGAGGGTGAAGCATGTTCAAGGGAGTGGGGGTAGGGTGGATGTTTGGGGGTGGCTGGCAAGGGACAGGCTGGTTGAGCCTGGTTGGTGCCCCTGGCTAGCCTGTTGGCACCAGGGCTTTAGATAAGAGCATATTGCCCGTGTTAGCACCGAAAAGAGGTTCTTGGCCATACTGCTAGCCCCTCCTCCTCCCCGCCCTGCTGGTGGCTGCCTTCACCCCTCCCTTCTCCACTGGCTCCCACTGGGCAGGTGGCACCAGACCATGTAAACACCATGATGGTGCCTGTTCATCACCCCTCAGGGGGCCAGCTCCCCACCCACCCACCAGCCTGGCCACCGACCCTACCAACTCCATTGCGAGGTCGCCTCTGGGCCCCAGGCCCTGGCCCCCTAAATATGGAGAGGGAGCGGCTGCTCTACTGTACAGCTTCTTCCATTGCCATCCCAATGGGGCAGTGCCCGCAGTGCGGGTCAGCAGGCCCCCCAGGGCAGAAGGCTGAAGCCCAGACTGCTCGGGTCACCTGGGCCAGAGCCTGGGGAAGGAAAACCCAGAAGCGCTGGCCCCTCCCCCACCAATCTACGAATCCTGATCACAGCAGCCGAGACCCCCTCCCCCAGCCTCCGTTAACCAAAACAGCTTCATTATGCCAATTTTCAGCTTTCAATGTGCGGCTGATAACTGTCAGCAGAAAGAAGAGTTAATCTGGAATTACTCACATTCACAGAGCTGCCTGGCCAAAAGGAAGCGATAAAGCTTTGATGAAGCAGGATTAGACCCTGCTGGCCCAGCCTTCCGCCAATCAGAGGGGCTTCTCCCCTCCTCCCTCGTCCCTAGGAGGCAGGGCTGCAAGGGTCAGCCCCCCAGGGAGAGGCGTTTAGTTCTCTCTCTCAGACACACACACACACACACCCTCATACACACAGAGGCACCCCAACTCCTGCCCTCCCGCCCACCCCCATCTCCTGGACTCTCTCCAGTGCCATCCAGAAATGCCTAATTGTCCCTTCTGCTTTTACTCTGGACCGTGATTAACTTTTTATTTTGGAAAATTACTTTATTATATAGATATAGATATAGATATGTATGTATATATAAAAAGGTTCCATTTCATTTGTAAAATCTTATTTTTTTCTCTTTTTCTCTCTTTTTTTTTCCTACAGAAAATGATGACGAGGTTAAAGGAGAAAATAAATTACATTACAGTTTCCAAAATGGGTCTCGCTCTCCGCTGAAGATGGGCCACTGTCCGGGCTGTAATGCACTCGTGGTCCCAGCTTGTGCTTTGCAAGAAGAGGGAATATAACTAGATGGTTATTTTAGGTTGAAATAGCCAAGAGACAGACGCCTTCGCCTCAAAAATATTCTGAGACACATAAAAGTAGAAGGAAACAAGTCTCTTCAGTCACAAAATGTCGTACATCCCGCATATACTAGATTCAATTAATTTAATAAAATAGAATATACATAGAGATTCTGCACAAACGTATTGCTTTCTCCCAACAGCTCCTGGTGTCGGGAACCTCAGCTACCCTGGGCTTCTCTTCCTGCCTGGAGCCGGAGGCCCTGGCTGCTGCTTTCCACTCTGGAAATTCTGCTCGCCGGTGCCCAGAGCCACTGAGGCGGGGAGGAGCGCCCCCTCGGTGTCCATATGGAACTGTTTTCAGGAATATAACCCAGGAGGAGGAGCTAGGATTTGGCACCCAGTGGAGAAAGGTGAGTGGGAGAGTGGGGCAGGACTCAGGGGTCCAGGTCTGCCGGGTCAGAGGATAAACCGGAGAGACTCAGCACGTCTTTCTTTGGGGGGGGCGAGGCAGCCATGCTGTCAGGGGGGCCAGAGGCCGAGGGATCCTTGGAGTCGCTGGACGGAGCCCTCCTTCGGAGGCAGATGCCAGGGCTGGGTGGGGGCCGAGGGCCCTGGCTCTCCGGGGGGTCTATGGAGATACTGGGCGGGCTGAGTTTTTTCTTGGGCCGGCTCCCAGGCCCCCCAAGAGGTTGGCCGCCGAGGGTCGAGGGGCTGGGGCCCAGGTGCGGCTGGGAGCCGCTGTCCAGGCAGCTGACCGCGATGGAGTGCCTCCTCTGCTCGTCCAGCCAGGACGTGGGCCGGCGCCGGCAGCTCTGAGCCTCCACGCTGTAGCACTTCTTCAGGTCCCGTGGGGACGGGGGCTCCTCCTGGCTGCCGGCGGGCAGGAGGTCTCCTGAAATCCAGCTCAGCTCCGTGTCGAGCTCTAAGCTGCTTCTGGTCTCTGAGGGGCCTGTGCCCCAGGTGGGCTCTGGGCCGGAGCAGGGGGCTGGCGGGGGCATGTGCTTCGAGATCTTGCTCTGGTCGCAGGAATGCTGCTGCACCTGGGTGCTCAAGCGGCCCCAGAAAGAGGAGGCCCGGGCCAGAGGCGGGGAGGGCCCACTCACCTCCGACAGCAGGTCTTCCCGGCTGCCCAGGCCCTGAACATCCAGGGAATCAGTCCTTATTGCTGCCTGTGTGGGGGACGGGGAGGGCTCAGGCTGGGGGCTTCCTCTCCCGCAAGAATGGTCCCACCTGTCAAGCCAGATAGCCCCCTCTTCCCCCTCCATGGAGCTGTAGGACCACCCTAAGCAGGGGTACTGGTATTTGCTCTCGTTGGGAGCTGGGAGCCATGTGCAGCCTGACCTCTGTTGTCCACCATGCTCCTCCTCCCTCACCCCTTCCCTAAGCCTACAGAAATTGTTCTCTACAGCTCCCAACCCCTGGGACACAAGAAGCACGGGGCCAGCTCTGCTCCCCAGCTGGCTCCTTCATGCCTCCCAGCCTCCGCATAGGCTATTTCTTTGGCCTTAAATACCCTTTCCGAGTGGCAAGCACCCTTCAACTTTATGGACACAGGTGCTCTAGGACGTAGTGCCTGACAATCTCAACCCCCAAGTAAAACTGCCTCCTTCCTCCTCTTTGCTCCCTGCTGCACCACGCACGTGAGCATCCCAGCAATGACCTGTCACTGCAATGATCTGACAGGGTGTATGTCTCCACTGTTAGACCTTGAGCTCCAGAGGGTAGGGGCAGTCTCATTTGTCTGTGTCCCCAGTGCCTGGCACAGAGAGGCTGCTCAGTGAATATTTGCAGAATGGATGAGGACTGTGCTTGCTCCTCAAAATGTGTGGGATTAAGCAGATTCTCATGTGGTCATACTCACACATAAGGGCACTCGCAGCATGGGCTGTGGCCTTGTCACAACAGGGCAGTCAAGCCTCACTAGGCTACATGAACCTCTGCTCTGTGCCCCTGGAACGTGGGCTCTGGAAGCTGGCCCTACGGCTTGGCCAAAGGTGGAGAGACCTAAAACATGCCTCATGCCCCTTAACTAGGTCTAGAAGTACAGAGAATACGGAGGCAGCCCTGGGCTGGGGAAAGGGGGTCCAGAGACCTGGGTTCTTCCTCCAGCTTGATGTGTATCCCTGGTAACTAGGCCCCCCTCTGGTCTCCAGACCTCCTCAGGGAAACAAGGGAGGGTACAGACCGCTTTTGCTTTGCCTGGTATTGTGTCCCTGGTACCTCAAACTCAATCTGGCACATCATTGGCACACAATAAATGTTGGTTAGGAGAATGAAAGTGTCAATCCCAGTCATTACCACCAGCCTAGGATTCCCAGCAGAGAGGCCAGCCCCCAGCCCCATGCCCACCTGCTTACCTGGCGCCGGAGTGGCCTCTGAGCCAAAGGGGAGCGGCCCGGCGGGGGCAGTTTGGGGATGGTACCCCACGTGGGAGTGCTGTGGGGCTGAAGCAGATGGGGTGCATCTTTGGGAACCTGCAGGATGTAGCTGGTGTCTGCTGGCTGGGAGTGAACGGACAGGACGGAACCTGTGGGGGAGGAGCATGGGGGGAGGAGGAGAGAAAAGAGCTTGAGTCCCCTCTCGTCCACTCTCCCTCCCCAATCAGGGCATCCACCCTCACCACATCACCTCACGCTGGATTGAAAGCCACCCCCCTCAGTCTGGGGGCTCCTCAGAGGTAGGTGAGACCTCTTTTGCTGTCTCAGCACCCCCTTCCTGGGTCAGGACGAGGCTTAGGCAAGGACGGGGTCTCCTGGTGTGAGCCGAGCCCACCTGCCCCCAGCCCTAGTACCTGACTGAGCTTTGGGGAGCCCCCAGCCCCTGTGTCCCAGGGACCCCTTGGCAGTGCTCCCATCCCGGCACATGTAGCTGTCATTGGGCAGAGAGTGCGTTCGGCTGACCCCAGACTTCCGCACAGTCAGCAGGTCTGGTCCCATTGAGAGGGGCACCTCCTCAGGGTGGCGTTCCATCTGCAAAAGGAACAGGGGAGGGAGGTGGAGGAAGAGGGGTGGTCCGGATTGGGTAGCTGAGGTGGAGCTGGACAACAGAAACCAGAACCCAACCCCAGACCCGGGCCCCCATCCCCTCCCCTGGCAAGTTGGGATGGAATGAGTGTGCTTGAGGAGAAGGGGCAGACACATGGATGAACCCTCCACACACAGGGAAGAAGCGGGTGGGAGGAGGCCCTGGCCCCAGAAAATGATCCATACTGCATCAGCTTGGAGGCTCCCAGTGGGGATGGCAAAGGGGTGAGGAGGTGTCCAAAGGAGGGAGAGCAGCCCCCAGCCCTAGCCCCCAGCCCCACAGGTGGCCCAAGAGCTCATTCTCAAGGCCCCATTGAGAGGCTCTGACGCAGCATAGTGAAGGATTAAAAGCTAACAGCAGCCCCCGAGTCCCTGTGCTGGGGCCATGAGGGGCTGGGGAGTGGCAAGGACCCTCCCAGGGAGCAGGAGACTTGGCAGCCCGGACTGCCTGCAGAGCAGAGGCTGGTTCACCATCCAGTTCTTTAAGGCAGCCCCAGCACTCAGCACTGGGCGTGGCTGGGTTAATGTGGGTTGAATGACAGATGATCACTAGGGGATGTCACAGCTGGCTCACCCACCTGTCTCCCCCACTTTCAACTACACAATGACTTTGGTAGGTGGGGGGTGTGGGGCAAGGCCTGGGTACTGTGGACTCAGGTCCTCACTTAGTGGGAGGACTGAGAGTGGGAGTGGGTTTTTTGAATCTATTTTAAAGAAAGGCAATAATCAGCCTTTGACCCCAGCCAGAGGGAAACAAGGTTTGCTCCCAAGAGATTTTTCCATCATCCTAGTTCTCAGAGAGGCTGTAGGGTTTCTGTCCCCATGAGGGCCCAGCGAGTTAAGCAGCCTCAGCAGGCCTGAGAATGGCTGTGCTGGAACTCAGTCGGGATCCTCTGCTTCCCCCTCAGCCCCAGGTTCCACGTCTGCCAGCCACCCTAAGACCCCTAGGGACCCCAGGCTGTGGTCAAGGCCCTGCCCCAGCAGAGCCCTACTGTGAGGAAGGGGTCTCTGTCCCTTCTTAAGTCCCTGGAGGAGGGGGAAGACAGGGAGGAGGGGGCTGCTCAGAGTCAGAGGGGGACAGGGAGCCAGGCAAGGGGGGAGCAGCTGTCAAACACAAGGAAGCCCCCAGAACGCAGGGACATACAGGGACAGTGACGGAGGAGACAGGACGGCCCCCCAGGTGGAGAAGGGCATGGTGGTGGCAGCAGAGATGTGGCTCTCACCTCCTACGTGGTGGCAAATGGCTCATGTTGGGGTGGGGGAAGCAGGGGTGCAGGCAGGGGGAGGGCTGGCTTGCACAGGGCTCCAAATACATAGACCGACTCTGCCTCCAGGCAGGCCCTTTGGCCTGCTGGCTGATGCCACCTCTGGGCATCTGGATTAACCCTTCACAACTGCCGCCCCTGGGCCCTTCTGGGAGGTCCCAGTGTAATCTCCGATTTCTTTGTCCACAGAGAGGAATCTGAAAGACCTAGCAAAGGCTGGGGCACTCAGTGCCTGCCGGTTGATACCTCTGGTGGAGCCTGGTGTCAGAGTGAGAGGGGAGGGATCTGGAGCCCTGCAGCCAGCCCAGCCCCTGGGGAGGCTGAGGGAGAAGTGAGGGGCCGTGTGTATGTACATTGCTCTCCGGGGCACTAAGTAAGAGAGTGTGAGTGTCATCAGGCAAAGAGTCATCCGTCAGAGCTAGAGAGCAGGATGGTTCAGACACAATCTCTGACGTCAGAGACAGAGCCTCCATCTCAGCTAGAGGGATCTAGACAGGGAGAGAGATGATCAGGCATGAGAAACCAGGACAGCGCACGCTCCCGCGTGTGCATGCACACACACGCACGCACACACGCAGAGCCCTCCTTTCCCCCTTTTCACGAAGCAGAGAGGAAAAAGGCCACCCTTCTCTCTTCCCACCCCTTTCCTAAGTAAACTGACAGTGCCTCCCCTCCCCCAACTTCAACCCCCGCTCCGATCAGAGAGGCTGAGGCAGGCACCAAAGAGCCAGCACAAACACTGACAAAGCAGGAGACGCAGAGACATATTCTAAAGAGACCCCAGGAACCGGAATGGCCCCCTCCCACACTGCCACCACCCAGGGAGAGAGCGGGGAGTGGGGAGGGTTTTTGAATCCCGTGAAGATGATATCAGAAAAAAAGAAAAGAAAGAAAGGCCAGCAAAGCGCCTCTCTGCTCTCCGCACAGACATAGCAGCGTGGGGGGCCCTGAGGACAAAGCCACCAATCTGACAACTGTTTTCTGCCTATTCTCTCCACTTCCAAAAGCCTGGCAGGACTTGGCCTGCCCCCAGATTCTGGCATCTCCCCTCCCGGGCCCTCCTCCGCCTGCCAGCAGCGCCGCCCTCTCCTGCTTGGGTTCTGGGAGATGCTCGCCTCCCGCCAGCCTGCACTGGGCACACGTGGGTGAGCCACCACACCATCTGGCTGGCTCACCTGGGATTGGCAGGGGGGCTTCAGTGCCTCCAGGACCCGGGGGAGGAGTGGGGCCATCCCTCCCAGATGAGCTGGCTGCCATGGTCACCTTCTCATCACGTCCTCTTTTCTCTCAGCACCTTTTCCTAGGAGCCTCCTTCAGGATGGGAAGCCTCAGGAAAGGACTCAGTCTCCCACTGATCGTTCTAGGCCACTGCCAGGTTCAGGTCCCTGTAGCCTATCTGAGACTGAGTCCGAACCAGAGGTCAGGAACCCCAGAGGCGAGGGCCCTTTCCTTGTGAGCGTCACTATCTGTTTCTTTGGATCCAGCCGCAGGTGTTCCAGGCACCGGGAGCCGGCCTGCCCGCGCCTCCACCCAACAGGGCCTGCAGAGCACTAGGCTGTGCTATGTCCAGCTGACACGTGTCTCCTTGCCTCTACTCCACGTCTCCTGGGGCCTTTCCTGTAGCCCCTGACCTAGGAGGAAGGGTGGCGGGGTGATCTGCAAGTGGAGGGTGTCAAAGGCAGCCAGACAGGTGGTGAGGGAAGAAGAGGAGGACCCCAGAAAATGGAAGATACACGTTTCGATGGGTCTGAGGGGACAACATGTGGCGCTGTGGGAAGGGGCTGGGCTTGGGGAAGAAGCCATGTCCTATTTCACACTAGGGTCCCAAAATCCACTCTGATCTGGAGTCTTCCATTCCCTCTTGGGACCAGGTCAGAACTCCCTGGCTACTGACAGCACCCACCATGCCCAGTTGGTTCCATGGCTTAAAAAGCCACCAAACGGAGGATGGGGGTAGGGAGGTGGATGCTGAATACAGAGAAGAAGCAGATGGTGGCCTAAGACATGTTCCTCAGTGGGTCCCCTGGCCACCTGCACTATCCCCAGAGGTCCTTCTCCCCTGGATCTGGCATCTTACTTCCTCAACCCCCTAAGGTCCCACTGCCAACTTGTCTTCTGCTCCATCCACCTCTTCTCTTCCAGCCTCTTTCTTAGAAAGGCCCCCTCTCCAAACCCCTCCTCCATCCATCCTTCTCCCTCAGAAGTGCAATCTCAGCATCTCTACCTTCCAACTATGTGTTCCAGAGGTTGATCTCAGCCTGAAGAACCCCTGGCTGCCTCCTGCCAAGCCCACAGCTCAAGTGAGGCCCTGAGGCTGCTCTTTTTCCAGATACCCAGTGAGCAGGAAACACCCCCACCTCCCCAGAAGCACAGCACAGCATGGCACAGCCCAGCACGGTCAGGCGAGGGGGCACAGCACTGGGACATAGTAACCTGTGGGTCGGAGCCGCCCGGGCTGCGAGCGGGAGGGAAGGCAGAGGGCTGGCCCCCTGGGCCTGCCAGCTCGTCCATCAGCTTCAGCTCCCCCTCCAGGGAGCCCTGGATCAGCAGGGATATGGTGTCAAACAGCTGTCTGTCCTGGGGAGGACCAGCCCATGAGGGGAGCTGGTGAGTCAGGGGAGCGGGGGTCAGAGGGCAGTGATGGGAAGTGTCATGGCAGGGGATTGACAAGAGACACAGAGGGAGAAAGAGGAGGTCACACATACACACGAACACAAACACACACACACACACACACACACACAGCACCAAAGAGACAGAGAAAGAGGACGAGATGGGGAAGGTGGGGAGGAGAGAGGTGTGGGAGGAGGAAGGAGAGATGGGAGATGGGAGATAGAAGATGAGCCGAGCCCACAGGGAGAGGGAGAAGGAAAGAGAAGATCAGTGGAAGGATTGAGAGATGGACTCAGGCAGGTCGAAGGGTGTGAAGGAAACAGGTGTGGCAATCGGGCAAGGGTAAGAAAGAAACAGGAAGGAAACAGAAAACTTAGCCTTGAACCTAAGAGCCAGGAAGGGCAGCCAGGCCGGGCTGGAGGTACAGGGGCTGGATGAGCCAGCACATGTGCCAGCGGGTAGTGGGGTAGGTACCCTGTGCAGTGAGTGTGGGCAGGCATCTCTGGGGAATGGTCAGGGACTGCTGTCCCCTCCGCATCCAGGCAGGAGGGGCAGAAGGATCCAGGAGGAGCCCTTGAGTCTGCTGTGCTGCCACTCCCCCCACCACCCACTTGTCCCATCCCCGCAACCCGTCGCGGCTGGGTGGGTGTAGGCTCACCGTCGAGTGCTCGAGGGAGAGGCGGGAGGCTGCTCCCGCATGGGCCGTTGCATGCAGAGCCCCAGATTTGGGGCTGTCAGGGCTTTCGGGGCCCCCAGGCCAGAAGAAGGGGCTGCCCAGCGGTGAGTGGGGCTGCGGGCTGAGTGTCTTCATCTCCAGCTCCAGCTCGGCCTCCAGCTCGGCTTCCTCCTTGGCCTCCTTGTTGCTCTCCTCCAGATGCTTCATCAGCACAGCGATCACCACATTGACCAGCACAAACTGGGCAGTCAGCACAAAGGACACGAAGTAGATGGGGGAGATGACCGTGTTGTAGCAGGTGGACTCCTGGTCGCAGTCCCGGAGGGTATCCTGGGGGAGGTGGGTTAGAGGGGTGAGGCCGCGAGGACAGCAGACGGAGCCATCATGGGAAATCGGGTCACTGGTGTCACAGAGCATTGAAGGAGGAGAAGGAAGGGCAGGAGGAGGGAGTTATGGTGTCCTGGGGGCAGAGGAGCATTAGACACTATCCTGGGAGGTGTGAGTCGGAGCATGTCCTGGGGAGAGGGAGTTCCAGAGTGTTCCAGCATAGGGGATAGAAGGTCACATGCTTTTATTCATCTTGCCAGGGAATCTTGGCTCAAGAAGTGGGGTTGTCTCCTTGGGGACTGAGCCAGCCCTGGGAGGGACCCCGCAGTGCTGGGCTCTCACCTTCATAATGCCGTTCCAGTTGTCACCTGTGGAGACTCGGAAGAGGGTCAGGAAGGCCATGCCAAAGTTCCGAAAGGTGGCATGCCGGCCCAGGCCCTCACAGGGGTGCGTCTCATCACATTCTGGAGGAGGAGGGAAGGGGAGAGAGGCCCACCTTAGCCCAGGAGCCCCTGGGTCTCCAGGCCTGGTTCCTCCGCCCTCCCTACCCCAACTCACCCAGGTCTCCAAAGAGCTCCACGCCCAGAGCTGCAAAGATGAAAAACAACAACATGAAGAGAAGTCCCAGGTTCCCCACCTGGAAAAGAGGAGAAGAAATGGAAAAGGTGCCGCTGGATCTCCCAGCCAGCTTCCCTGAGCCCCTGGCCCCTTTGGAGAGCACATCTTCCCCCAGAGGACCCCTCCCACCCACCTCTACCTCCCAGCTACCTGGGGCAGGGCCTGCATCACCGTGTCCAGCAGCGCCCGCATGCCCACAGCCATCTTCAGCAGCTTTAGCACTGCAGAACAGGACAAAGTCATGAGCTGGCCCCTCTGCGTCCCAGGTCACACAGCTGGTGGAGCTGGGGTCAGGGCCAGGGCTGTGGCTAGAGGGATGGCCAGCCCTGGACAGCCAGGCTGCCAGGCTCCACCCCCACCCTCAGCCCTGCCCCTAGCCTTCTCCTTTGGCAGAGGGTGGGAGAATGACCCATGGGAACCCACACCCACCCAGTCCCTGAGCAGCCACAGAGCTGACCCCTGGGCCAGACACCCGGGAGGGTGGGTGTGGTGGGCAGGCGGTCAGGTACTCACCTCGGGCGATGCGCAGCACCCTCATGATGCGGATGATAGTGGGGTTGATGGGCAGCGAGGCGTTGACCTCGATCTCCTCCAGCGTGATGCCCATGATGGACAGCAGCACAATGGCCAGGTCCAGCTGGTTCCACCTGGAAAGCCCAGGACACAGCTCCCTGAGTGGGGGAGGGGCACCACAGGGAAGGGAGAGTGTGGCAACACAAGTGGCTGGAGAAAGGAGGGTGGAGGTCAGCTGGTCCAGCCTCCCCATCCTGCAGAGAAGATGTGGCTTATCTATGGTCACACAGCCAGTTGGTGGCAGAGGTAGGGCTACAACTTTAGCTTGAGGGCCTCTGCTTTTCATTTTTATACATTCACTTTTTAATTTAGCACATATATGGTGTTTGCTGTGTGCCAAGCACTGTTAAGGGCTTTTCTAATAGGAACTCATAATCTTCACAACTCTCTTGTGGATACTGTTATTATCTCCCATTTACAGATGAGGAAACTGAGGCACAGACAAAGTAACTTACCCGAGGTCACCAGCCTCTAAGCGATGGAGCCAGGTTTCGAATCTGGTCCAGGCAGTGTGGCTCCAGGCTCTGTGCTCTTAAGCCCCACTCTAGACCACATTGATTTCCAGCGGCCAGTGTCCCCCAGGCCCTGTCTTGTCAAGTTGTCTCCCTTCCTTCCCATCTTCTAGGCCCTGGATGCGCCCGCCCCCCGCCCCCTCACCTGGCCATCAGCCATGGGTGGTCCTAGATTGGAGGCTGAACCTCAGGAGTCAAGAAAGGTCTTCAGGCACCTTACCCTTCCCCGGGAGACACGCCCTCCCCCGCTCTCCCACACCCCTCCCTCTCTGCTACCTGTCCTGGAAGAACCGCCGGAAGCCAAAGGCCACGAGTTTGAGAACGGACTCCAGGACGAAGATGACGGTGAAGACGTAGTTGCAGACCTTCAGAGCCTCGTCTAGGACCTGGCAGGGAGGGGCACGATGCAGGGTCTCCTAAGGCCAGGGAGCGTGTCTGCCCCTCCCTCTCCATTACTCCTTCCAGATCCGGGAGACAGGGTGGTCTAAGGGGATCTTTCTTCTCTGTCCCCACCAGGATGGCGGACCGCTGGCCACTACTGCGGGATAGGGTAGGATCCTCATTCACATTTGTACTAAAGGATCTCTCTCCTTGAGGGATGGCGAGGAGACCACGTGAGAATGTGCTGGACGGCACAGAGCCTGGAAGGGGCCTTGTGCATTACCAATTCAACATCCTCATTTTACAGATGGGGAAACTGAGGCCTGGAGGGCAGCCAAGAGAGGCTGATTTGAAAAGTGGCAAGATCATGGGTGAGTTTTGGAGCTGGCCATTCACTAGAACCTAACTTTGAAGGGCAGGCACTGATCTGCCTTCTGTACCCTCAAAGGTCCAGAGCCCAGCACACAGTAGGCACTCAGTAAATATTTTCTGGGTGAAGAAATCAGGTCCTCTACTTCCTAGCAGTGTGACCTCAATCTAGTCAACTAACCTCTCTGAGCCTCAGTGTCCTCATCTGTAAGACCAAGATGATACCCACCTCCAAGGGTCGCTTCAAGGGGTACAAGGGGTACAAGAGGAGCCCCTGTGGAGTGCCCAGCTCAGGCTGGGTGAGCCTTAGCCCTGCTGCCCTACAGCTGGAGGCATGGCCTGGATGGCTGGTCACTCGCTCCCACCTGAGGTTGCCGGTAATGCTCCATTGCCATGGTGATCACATTCAGCCCGATGACCCCCGTGATGAAGAGATCCAGGTAGTGGCTGGTACACAAGTGGTGGACAAGGAGCCGGAAGCGGGAGTAGTCTGAGTAGTAGGGTTTGCACTGGGCTTCTGGTGGGGCAGGGAGGAGAGCAGAGCAGCCATCGGCCCCCTGTCCCCTGTGCCCCCTCCACCCACAGTCCCCTCACAGCCACCAGCCTCTAACCCCAGAGCTGAAACATTCCAGTGTCATCAGCATCCTTGCTCTCCACACACTGTCCTTTTTTCCAGGGTGGGGAGCAGCTCTCTTGGCATCTCCCAACCAAGCATCTGTTCTACTGGCTACAGTTGGGTGCAGATGGGGTCAGGACATGCAGAGCTCCCCACCCACATTAGACACCAGGTGAGCCCCCACCCCGAGGCAGCCTCCAAAATCCACCAGCCCCTCATAACGCCCTCGACTCAGTGTTCCGCAGCGAGGCCGGATCAATAAGATGAAAAACAACTGGTCTTATTGGGCTCAGAGGAAGCTCCATCAACTGAGAGGCGAAGGCTCTTGCTCCTTCACCAGGCTCAGCCCCTCGAGGGGAGCAGAGATTACACAGAGCTGGGATTTGGAGATAAAACTGGACATTGGAAATTGGCTGGCTGCACTGACCCGCCCAGATGGCCTCCGTGGGGGCAGGGCCTGGGCCTCCTGTACCCCCATGTCGGGGAGGGCAGAGGGGAGGCCACGGGGCTCTGCTCTGTCCCAGAGTCATCTGGGAGGGCCCACCGGAAGGACTCACCCAGTTTCTAATGAGGCAATGCCCAGCCTGCTCCTGGGTGTCAGGGCAGCATTAGATCGCAGGCTGGGCCGGAAGCACTGTCTGAGATCTGTCAGAGGCATAATATTTCTCTCGTAATTAGTGAACCACTTAGTTATAAAACTCATGGTGCCAAAAGGTTGGCCTGCTAAGCAGGCAGAATGAATCTGGGGGCAGGAGATGGCAGAGGGCCCCTCCTCCAGGTGCTGAGGTTAGGCCAGGCCAAGTTGGGGATCCATGTCACCTGGAGGCAGTTGACAGACTGGTCTCCCAGGCAGCCACACAGAAAGAAGAGGCTCTGCACGGGAAGGCTTGGGCAGCCCCAGGTCCCAGACAGCCCTTCCTCCTCAGGAAGTCTAGGGCGGAAGCCAGCCAGCAAGGGCTGCAGCCTCTGAGGACTGTGCCAGGGGTGGCTGGCTCAGGGGCAGCAGGAAGCTTTGAGCCCAGGCCAGCTCAGATATAAGTGTCCTTTCCCATGCAGAGGACTATTTAACAGAGAGGTAAACTGAGGCAGGGAGTGGCCTGGGGTGGGCCCCCACCGAAGGCCGAAGGAAGAAGAGCGCCCAAGAGCTGCATGTTCAGCATCGCCGGATGCCACTCTCCAGCACTGGCCTTGAGGTATGGATAACCAAGAGGCAGAAAGTCCGGAATGTTCTGGTGCACCATGTGGTGCGATAGGCCCTCTTTTTGTTTTCAGAGATGGGCCAGCCAACTGTGGCTTTGTTTGCTCAGGCGGCCCTCCTGCCCCCCAGGAGTGTGGGGATGGAGAGACCAGGACAGGGCACCACAAGAGGCCGCGGGTCATCCACATGGCGATCGTGGAGGGTGGAGCCGGCTAGCGGGCCTCTTGCTTCCTTCTTTCAGTACCACGAGAACCAGAGGGCGCTAGTCGCCCTGCGTTGCCTTAGCAGCCGGAACTCTTTCTCTGCATTAATCTCCATAAGTGCCGAGAGCACCGATCCCATTATGCTAAAATATGAACGGAGAATTAACTAAAATGTTTGAATACAATTAGGTTAGAAAAAGTGGCTCCTTATTAGCCCCATTATTAGCTGAGACAATGCAGAGGAGAGGGTGGGAGAGTCCCCTCTCTCCCCTGTCACCCCTGTCTGACTGTGTAGGCAGCCCCAGGCCAAATGGAGCTGCTGCCACCAACATGGCTGCCTCCGGCCTTGCTCCAGGAGTCTGAGGGGCGGTGGGCTGGGATTCAGCCAGGGACCCTCCTCCAAGTGGCCCAGAGAGAAGGTGGGGACAGGACGACTGAGGCAGGGCATCTGCTCATAGTGACCAGTCCCAGGCCACCGAGGTCTATACAAAGGCCCCTCTACTTCCGGTCCTATCCAGAGCAGCAGGTGCCGAGGCTGCCAGAAATCCCCCAGCAGAGCACAGGTCCAGAGTACCAGAGCCAATCTGATCAGCCTCTCCTCCGCCAGCCCTTTGCCTGTACAGTCAAGGAGACTCAGCACAAAGCCAGTCGTCCACACACTGTGAGACAGTGACCGAGCCAGAACCCAAACTCCCAGCCCGAGTTCCTTGCCAGCTGCCAGGCAGGTTTAGACAAAAGGCCATGGGGTTTTGGCCCAGACGGTACCCTCAAAGAGTTTGCCCAAAGGCCCTCGCTGTTGGGCTCTGGATGATGCCACGCCCCTGCTGCTCCCCGGACTTCAGTTCTAAAGGCAAGACCTGGGCTCAGAGAAGAAATAGAGACCCCCTGGCAGGAGCCTTGGGCCCGTGTGCTGCTCTGAGAGCCGTGGCCGTAGCCCTTGACTAGTGGTCACTGGCATGTTGGCAGCCCTGGCCCCATCTCCCTGCCTCCCACCAGTATGAGCTGCCTTAGGCAGAGAAAATACCAGTCAGACAGTGGGGAGAAGGGAACCTCCAGGACTGTCAATCCCACAGTCAGGGGCCGGAGCAGAGGAGAGGTACAGGAGGGGGTGTGAGGCTGTGAGTGGGAGCAACAGGCACGGTGAGTTAGTAGGGGTAGCTGGGAGCCCGAGGCACAGCCAGGGCGGAGGGTTTGCAAAGGAGAGTGGCAGGGAGTAGGTGGAAGGCAGGGACACAGGCCCCCACGGCAGAGGCCATGCCCTCAGCTTCCGTGGCCAGGCCTGATCACTGGGTCCCGCTGGAAGGAGAGAGGGTGAATGGAGGGGGGGGCCACAGGTGGCCGTGGGAGTGGAGCTGGTGCTGGAGGCTGAGCGGTCACTTGGGGCTGCCTTGATTGCCCAGCAGCCCCAGTCTCTCCCACCACCTGGAAGCTGGGCTGGACCCAGGTGTCCAGTCAGGCCCATTCCCCAGATAATCAAAGACTCGTCCCTTCTGCCTTTCCCTGGGGTCTGGCTGTCTCCTCCTGCTGGGAGCAGCACGGGGTGGGCGTGGGACTAGCGGGAGGTGTGGCGATGCCCATATTCGGTTCCCGGAGCCCCAGATTAGGGGGTGCGACTTGGCCCCATTACCCTGCTGGGTAGATCAGTACATTCCCCGGGAGCTGACTGGAAATGCAGATGCTCAGGTACCCAGACCACTCCGTGAGAATTTCTAGGGTGGGGCTGGGGAATCTGTGTTTTCATATGTTCTCCAGGTAATTCTTATATACACTGAAGTTGGAAAAGCTCTGGTATAGAACAGGCAGAACACGAGGTCTGGGTAAGAGGAATATGGGATGAACTTTGCCCCTGTTTGGGGTCTCTGGGTTCTCATTACCAGCTGGAACAGTGAGACACTATCATAATCAGTGTATATGCCTGCATGTGCCAAGAGGAACATGGCAGAACATCCCCAGAGTCGGGGTGCAGCGTGAGAGTGACAAGAGTAGGTATCGTTGAGTCGGTGTGTCGGGAGGAGTTCTTGAGGCCCATGAGAGCCTGCATGTGTTAATTCTCGGTGGGGCAGCCTCTGTGGGCCAGCCTGATGCTAGGGTGGTACTTTAGGGTGAGTATGTATGTGTGGACACATTCTACAGACCAGGTGAACCCACAGGGAGAGCTGAAGGTCACTTCCTCCCACCCTCTGCTCATCCCCCGACACATCAGGAATTTTCAGTACAGCCTGACACAGAGTTGCGGGACCCAGGCAATCCAGACACAAACCGCTGGAGACTTCTGAGCCCAGAGAGAGACGGTCAAACCAATCAATGCCAAACATCATAGCTCAGCACCACAGGGAGGGGAGACATTGATCCACCCACGGCCTCAGGGATGATCTCCCAAATGGCAGCTCAGGGGATCCCCCCTTGGGTGGGTCCCTGAGGCCCGATCGATCAGACAGCCCAACCCCCACAGGGCGGCACCTGCTGGAGTGGCTTCTGGGGAGTGTGGGATAGCGGAGAGAGGTAAAGCCAGCCCGGCAGTTCCCAGCCTGAGGTCCCAGGCCCTCCGCAGCCTGAGAAGGCAGCCACACAGGGGTCCTCACGTTCTTTTCAATATTTCCAAAAGCTTAAAAGAAATCATACATATGCCTGTGTTAAGACCCCACAGATGAATCTAATGGCAAATGGTCGTTCTGTGCCATTATTCAGTGTGAAACCTGCAGCTCAGAAGCTCTGATGAGCAATTAGATAGGTCTTTGATTAGTAAAACTGGTGAAACAAAGTCATTAGAGAAGTGCTCTTAGCTCCAAAGACAGTCTTTCAGAATGTGGGGTCTGTTGGAGGAGATGATAAAGGGGACCCTTGTGGATGAACAGGTTGGGAACCACCGGGTGGAGACATCCGAGGTATAACGAGGCCCTGCAACCCTGTCACAGATTCTCTGGACCTCTGAACCTCTGTCTGAGGTCTGGGGGCCGTGTTGTGGGGAGCAGGGGTCCGAGGACCAGGCAGGGCAGGCAGGACCAGCAAGGACCGGTGGCCCAGAGACACTGCTCTCGAAGAGAAGGACCCAACTCACTCCCAAATCTCGGGGTTTCGGGAGAAGCTTGCGGCTAACTCAGGCCTTTGATCCCCAATTCCTGCTGTTTGTAGCGATGACGTGGCCACCGTGCTTACTTGACTATTAATGAGTCTGTTCAATTATTCATCATTACATTTTTAAAACAAATCCTTGCCCTCTCCGTTCCTCTCATGCTGCTTGTTTGGATCAAAGTCTCCCCTTCAGACAAAAGGAGACAGAAGAGATTTGCAGCTCTAATAATCCAACGGGAGGAGGAGCAGGAGAGGGAAGAGGCAGCAGGGGCTGGGGAGCTCAGGCCTTGGCAGCCTTGGAAGAGAAGGGGGGTCATCCAAGAGACGTCAGAGGGAGGGGCGTGCGGGGGCCCTCACCTCTGATCCAGGTAGCACAGGACCGTGGGATGACACAGAGCCCAGCTCCCCAGGGACCCTCAGCCCCTGGACCCGAGAGGATGGAGGAGCAAAGAGGACATCCCGCACGCATCGCACGCACGAGGCGGGCCGGGGGCAGGCAGGGCCGGACCGCACCCCCGGCCACGCCCTGGAACCCGCAACCCCAGACGCAGTACCTGGCGCAGCGCTGGCTGAGCTGCCGGAAGCAATTACATCGTCCAGCATTAGATCTAAAAGAACGAAACACGACATTGGTCACTGGCCGGACCAGGTGGGCTGAGCAGGGCCCCCTCAGCAGCTCGCTCCCCCTTGGCTCTGACCCTCACTCTGCCTATGAATGGCGTGTACTGAGCATGGGTGGCTGGTCCTGAGTGTCCAGCCCCAAACTCCGGGAACAGGGTGCTTGAGGAAATGAGCAATTCAGCCAGCTTGTCAGGGTCACAGGGGCAGGGAGTCGGACACCTGGGGAAGGGCAGGCAGCCTGTCATCAGAACAGATGTCCACTCCTACCCACACCGTGGCCTCAGCTGCACCTGAGACGGCTACAGACCCCAGAAGGGGAGCCGGCTGGTCAGGCAGGGCCACAAGTGCCTCCTGCCAAAAGAATTCCATCTGCAGATGCCCTGCCGAGGAGGCAGACTGCACAGAGGGGCGGGCGGATGGAGCAGGGGTGGGAGCATGGCTGCTGGGGGTAGTGAGCCTGCTCAGCTTCAGATATCCACAGGGAGAGCCGAGGTGGCACCCCTTCCCCAGAGCTGAGCAGGAAGCCTGGGGCACAGGTGCTGAGGATGTGGGACGCGGAGAATGGCACCCCCTACCGCTGCCCAGAGCCCAGTATCTTTCTACGTTCTGCCTTGAGCAGCCCCTGCCTCTCACAGGGAGCATCAGCTGTGTCCCATCCTCACCCACTCCCATGCTCTCCCACACTTCCTCCCCTCGCTCCAGGTGCCCCTCACAGGTAGCAGGAGACAGAACCAGGGGCAGAGGGGAGGGAGGGGCCCCAGAGCCCCTAACCCATTTGGTAGTACTCACATTTCAACAAATCAAAGGGAAAACTCAGAGCACTGTGCACATCTTATCGGCGTAAGGGAGCTGGTTTGTGAAAGGGTGGAGAGGAAGGGAAACCCGCAGACCAAACAGAGACAGACACACAAAGGCTTAGAGAAACCCACACACAAAGACACTCGGAGAGACGTGGGCAGTGACTGAGAGAGAGTCACAGAGATGATCGAGTACCAGACAGACAGGCGGAAACTCTGAAGACAGGGAGACAGGTGCAGACACACCTGGAGACACACTGAGAAACAGGGGGCTCCCGTGCCTGTCACTTCTCTCGCATCCTTCCTGGAATCTGTGTGTCTTTTCGCTTAGTCTTGGCCCACCCATGGCGTAAGAGCGTGAGGAGGGACGGCATGGGGTCTCACCCAGCCAATGCCCAGAGATGTTGGAGATCACAGGTGAGGGGTTAAAGGGTCTAAGGCCAGAGAGTCATGAGCTTAGAGTTCCTGTGACCTCAGACCTTCCCTGAGCCAGGGGGGATTTTTTTTACAGCTTGACAAAAAAACGACGGGAAGCCAGGGAGTTTTGCTGGAGATAGGGAGGGAGGGCGGGTCTGGGGTTATGTCACGATGCCATCCGTTTGCAGGTTCTGCCGAGGCCTTGCTCAGCAGCTACAGACACTAGGCAGGCACAGGTTCAAGAGGCTTGCTCGCCAACCCTGGGGTGGGCAAGGCTGGCACCTGAGCCAATCCCTGGGTCACTGGGCATCGGCACAGGGCAACGTAGCATGATTCTCATCCAACGAGGCTCCTCTGAGAGTCGAGCTGGGAGAGGCCGTGCATCAACTTCCACCTGGCCTCATCTGGGGAGTATGATGCTGAGACCTGGGGAGCCCCATAGGGCAGAGGGAGCTACCCCCACCCCACGGGGCTACACTGGTCTGCTTCATGCGGGCTCTAAAGGCTGACATGCTCTTGGGGGGAAGGAGGTGAGGAGGGGGGTGGGAGCATTTGCTCCCTGCCCCCGGCCCCAGCGCCTGGCCCCCTACAGTCGCAAGGCCAAGGTCAAGCATGGCTCAGAGAGATGTGGAAAGACTACCGACCAGCCAGCTGCTTCTCCTTACTCCTTCTCTTTTTCTCCAGTCTCCGAAGACGCTTCTCCTCCCGCCGCCGGGCCTCTTCCTCCTCCTGGTGCTGCCGACACTTGTGGAAGTTCTCCACCACCACGCCCACAAACATGTTCAGGACAAAGAAGGCCACAATGAGCAGGAACGAGATGAAGTAGAGCAGCATCCAGGGGTTGTGGTTCATGATGGGCTGGCGGGGAGCAGCAAGGACAGGTGGAGGCATCAGCCGGGGGGGTGCCTGTCTCAGGTGCTGCCCCACAGCCTGGGTCCCTTAGGACAGGACCTGCAAACTCAGTGAGCTACAGGGACCCAGAAGGTGATGCGAATGAATGATGTGGGTTTGGTGTTATGCATTAGGGAGGGGTGGGGACTGTGGCAAAGTGGAGAGTGGATGTTCTATCCAAAAGAGGCAGCTGCTTCTTTGTTCCAGCTGACTTCTGTGTTCCCAGATCTTTGGACTTCTCCTGAGCAGGCCCAAATTTGGATTTTCATGTGAGATTTGCGAATTTTTAAATGTTCACCACTAATTCAAAATCATTTAAACATGTGCAAGCCAATAAAATATGCCCAGATTTGGCCCTCAAGTTACCAGTACAGCCTCTGCTGCGAGGTGATGCCCCTTTGATGGCATTTTGCCAGCCTGCCTTGCTTTCTCTCTGTCCGTTGCCTACACCCGTCATGCTTACAGTTGGCCCATGCTAAGTGACCTGAGCCCAAAGATGGATCCTGCCCACCTTGGCCCTACCTGCTGGTCCACGCCCACAGCATCCAGCCCGTCATACATGATGTCCACCCAGCCATCCTTGGAGGCCAGCACGAACAGCGACATCAGAGCCTGGGGGCAGGGTAGGAGAAGGGATACCACCTGAAACCTAAGATGTATAGCTAAACTACTCACCACCTGCCCCCCAAGCATCTCCTGGCAGCAGCTCAGGGGACCTCAGCCCTTCAGAAGTTAGGCTGGAATCACACTCCAGGCCCCAGGAGAGCTCTCTGTCCCAGGCCTCCAGGGCTGGTATGAAACCAAGGGGGCCGTGGGAGATGATCAAACCCTCTGACCTCAGCCAGATAGAGCAAGGGACCCCAGAGCCCTGGAAATCCAGAAACGCAAACCAGGGAGGGTCTGAGAAATGAACCAGCAAAACCTAGTGAGCTATTTCGTTTTCTACATTTCTCTGTTTCTGCGAATGTGAAGTAAGGAAAGGAGCCGTCTTGACCATACACCTGCACCCTGTACCGTGCTAAGCAAATGTACGCATCGTCTCTCTGCATCCTTACTAGGCCCTCCAAGGAGACACCGGCACGACCCAGGCACCAGGTGATGAAGCTGTGGCCCTGGCAAGTCAGTTGCCCTGCACGCGTCACTATGCATGGAATGTGTCCTCTCCAGACTCCTGCCACCACTCCCACCCCCACCTCGGAGCCTGGGGCTCACCTGGCCCAGGTTGTCAAAGTTGTATTTGTGCCGGACCCACCGGTAACTGGCCTCGGCACAGTCAGACTTGTTGGTAATGTTCCTGGTGTCCTCTCCCTGGCACACGAAGAACTTCCCTTTGAAGAGCTGGCCACACACACCCAGAGACAGAGAGAAGTGAACTGTGACCACAGGAAGCCCAGAAGTCCCCAGCCCCTCCCCCCACCCCCCAGCCCTGGGGCCTCAGAGCTCCGGGCCCACCCCGGGTGAGGGTGAGGCGCTCAGCCCCGGCATCAGTCAAGCCAGGGAAGCTTCCCTGCAGGCACCCCCTCCTCTGGGGTCCTGGGAGCAGAGGCCCTAAAGAGGGAGGAAAGGCCATGTGGCAGGCGCTGGGAAAGAGCGGATGGCAGGAACAGCCATTGGTTTTCTAGAAAGGGCAAGGCCAGTGGTTCCTCAAGTGGGGTCCCTGGACCAGCAGCATCAGCAGCACTTGGGAATGTGCTAGAAATGCAAATTCTCAGGCCCATCCCCACCCACTGAATCAGACACTCTTGGGGAGGGGCCGAGGGATCTTGTTTAATGGTGAGGATGGGTTAGGTATTATCGACCCCACTTAACAGATGAGGAAAACTGAGGCTCAGAGAAGTAGATTCACTCATTAAGGTCATATAATCAGGAGGCGGCAGAAAAGGGGCTCGAACTCAGGTCTTTCTGACTGGAAAGCTCTCCCTCATTCCAGAACAAACCAGGCTATGATTGTGGGGAAGGGATCTGAGGGATGGGAGGAACAGGGGCCTGAGCAAGCCTCTCAGGGCAGACCTGCATCTGCTGGGAGAGCCTGGGGTTCCCCTGACTCACCTGAGCAGGCCAGGAAGGGAGGGAGGGGGACGGGGAACGGGCGTGCAGAGGGGCACTACACAGCCTTGGCAAACGGGCCCCAGCCTGGTCTCTGGGGCTAGAGAATTTAAGGAAACCTGAGAATGGCCACCTCCCCAGGGCAGAATGGATACCCCAGGAACCCAAAGGAAGGGACTGGGAGGGGGCAACCACCCAGGAACTCCTCCTGCCCCAACAGTCAGCTATCTACCCTGCAAGTGAAACATCTGGAGCAGGAGGGGAGAGGGGTGGGGCTGGAAGGCGGGGCTGGAAGGGCTCCCCGGCTCCTGGAGGTGCCTGTGGAATCCTGCAGGCAGTTCCCGCTCTTTTCCCTCCAAAGCCAAGTTCCCTCCCTGGGCCAGAGGCCAAGTTTCCCCAGCAGCCCCCACTTCCTGCCTTGTCTGGGGTCTGCACCGGCCTGCCTGCCAGCACGCTGCTAACCTGGCCCAGCTGTCTGGGCCCTGGATCCCCAGACCTGGCCTGCAGCCCACCCGACTCAAGCAGGGAAGGAAGGGAGGGGATCCCTGAGCAGACTGTGGGCCAGGGCCAGCGTCTGCACGCCAGAGCGCAGTGCGTGAGGGGCGGAACAGCAGCCCCGGCTATCAAGGGCCAGAAGCCTCTCTGAGGCCCTCTCCCCTTAGGGGCCTCTTCTAGGCTTCCCGTTTTCTGAAAAATGCCCAGGAGGCAAAGGGATCTGAGGCCTAGGGTATTGAGGGAAGTGTCTCTGTTTATTCCTTTCCGGAAAAAATGCAGCACCAGCTCAAGCCTCAGGATTTAGAGGCCGAGAAGAAGGCCCCCCTCAGGCTTCTGCCAACAGCTGGCCCTCAGACCCCCACAAACCTGCACCCCCAGGATGCCAAAAATGATGAAGAAGGCACAACAGATGACCACAATGTTGCCGATGGGCTTCAGCGAGGACATCAGCGTTTCCACCACCAGCTTCAGCCCCTGTGCCCGGCTGATTACCCTGGGGAGGGAGGGAGGTGGGTAAGAGGGGCTCCTCCAGCTCAGACACTCCATCTCCCTTGCCCTGCTGAGCAGCCCCCAGTGTTGGCTCATGGTCCCCATCCTGGGCTCTGGCGGAGGGAAGAGGGCTGCTTTCTGGGCTCGTCACACAGAGCTGTTCTTTTCCTGGGACCCCACCATCCGCACTCCCACCCACAAGCTCTCCAAACAGGATGCAGACACCCCTACACCCTCACGCCTCCACCTCCACTCCCAGGATGTCAAAGTATTACCTGATGGGGCTAGGGTGGGGATTCAAACCAGGGAGGTGTTACCCAGGATGCAGCGTGTTATGGGGACAGGAAGATGAACTTGAGGGGAGCATGCAGGGGGTGGCAGGGAGGGGAAGGGGGTGGAGAGGAGGGTCATCACAGCCAGGGAGGCATCCCTCGTCAGTCAGTATCGTCCCAATCCACAGAAAGTTCTGACTCTGGGGTAGGGGCAGAGGTGTTGTCTTATTGGGGAGGGTTTCCTGAGGGCAGACCCCCCGCCAGAAGTGTTACCTGGTGGGTGGGCTCTGAGAGGGGGTGAAGGTGGGGAAAGCCATTGAACGGAGTCTGTTACCTCATGGAGTCCCACCCAAGGGAGAGCTGCAGCTGAAGACTATGAGGGCCCCTTGTACTGTGCTCTGCAGGAGAATGTCAGACGGGGAGTCACTGGCAGGGAGGGGTGCCCTTGGAGGGAAACTGCTGGGGCTGTAGTTTAAGCTGAGTGATGTGGGGGACAGGGTTCCCTGTGACGGTCACAGGCAGGAAGTGGGCTTTCACTCCATTGTGGGGGTGTTGGTTGTTGGAGGTGTCCTTGAAGAGGAAGCGTGGCTCGGGGGTCACCTGAGCGGGCGCAGGGTCCTCAGCAGCCGCAGCACCCTCAGCATGCCCAGGATCTTGGTGCCGCTGTCGGAGACCATGGACACGAGGATGTCGATGATGGAGATGAGCACCAGCAGCCCGTCGAGCACATTCCAGCTGCTGCGCAGGTATGCCTGCTCCCCGAAGCACCAGCCCAGCGCCACCACCTGGGGACGCCCACCAGTCACCACCACCGCCACCTCTCTGCGGTCCCCAGCCCTGCCCCCAACTTGTGGCCAATCCTTTCCACCCCGACCAGGAACCAGAAGGCCCTAAACCAATGCCAACCCCCCATCACCTTCACTGTCATCTCCGCCAGAAAGACTGCGGTGAAGATGTAATTGGAGAGGGTCAGGAAGATGCGTTCCTGCAAGACAGAGCAGCCAGGTGTTGCCCGCCAGGGCCCCCCTCCTGGGGCCAGGTCTGCTCTGCATACAGAAGCCCGGGACTGCCTCCAACATTTGACTCAGAAAAACGATCCCCATCCTCCCCAACAAGGCAGACAATCTCCTCCCCCGCTACACACACACACACACACACACACACACACACACATGCAGCCAGTGCCAGGCCCCCAACTCACTAACAGCTCCATGGACAGCCTCACCTTTGCCTTCCCACCCCCAGAGGGGCCTGGAGGGGGATATGATCCTCACCGCACTGCTGTGTGAGCCCCATATCTCAGGCCCTATTCCGTGATTCCTTTCCTAAAACTGGGGCAGGATTTAACTTCATCTCTGACCTCCCCTATTCTATGTCTCTCTGCTCCACGTACTTGCTCTCCTGCTGTGTGCCCCAGAAATAGAGCTGCAGGGCAAACTGGGGGCCTGAGTGCAGGCTGTGCACCCCCAGGCATCGTATTTCTGCCAGGCATAGGGTGGGGCAGGGTGGGAAAGAAGGCAACCCAGCCCCCTGATATCTGTGGGCTGATTCTGTTGCTGGGTGGCCAGGAGAGGGGTGTAGAGAGCTGGAGAGGCAGCAGGCAGAGCGTGAGTGCCAGAGACAGTGAGAAACTGAGAAAGGGGAAGGAGAGAAGCATGCCCAAGGACAGAGCTGGAGATGGGCGAGCTGAGTGGGAAGGTGTGGCGACAGTGGCAGAGAGCTCTTGGGTGGGATGCAGACAAGGGGGCCAGTGTGACCAGATGCCCTGGCTCCACCCCACACAGACCCATCCCTCACCCACCTCTTCCTGAGCCAGCCCCTCTATTCCTCAGGCTCCCTCCATCCCTGCCCTGGCCTGGCTGGAGCCCACCCTAATGGAAAACAGAAGCCCCGACAGCATTGAAATCTAAGCAATGGTATGGGAGGCAGTGAGAAGGGGCGGGGAGGCCACCTCAGGCAAGTGGTGCAAAATGCCATGAGGGGCAACAAAGCCATACCCACCCGCCCTTCTAGCACCCGAATCATTGTCAGCGGGGAGGGGCTATGATGCCAGGCTGGGAAGAGACAGCTCCCAGAACCAGCTCGGCCCATCCTGGAAGAGGTTGGGACCCTGAGAGTAGGTCCAGATACTCGGGCCTCTGGCCTCTCCTCTCCTTCAGGTTCACAGCCAAGCAGAAGTGATGGACATCCCCCCTAACACCCCTGAAAACCTACTTGTTTGTGACCTGGCAGGACCATGAGGAGCGAAGGGCAGCTTCCCTCTCCCACTCTGCTTCACCCATGGGGCAGGCTGGGAGAATTATCTCTCCCATTGGTGCGCAGGTCATGGGTGAAACTGCTACCCTTTGCCGGGAGCAGGGGAAGGAAGACCACTCATCCTAGGCAGCTCCAGTCTCACTGTTCACATGACCCCAACACTCACTGACTCACACATGGGCCTCACAAGTCTCTGGCTCATGAGAACACGCCATCTGCAAACAGCCAGGGTGCAATGGAGCTCACTTTTCACCCAGGTAAAGAGCAGGGCCCACTTCCCTAGCTGGGCTGACGTATCACAGAAGGGAAACCAAGGCAGGAGAGGGACACAGGAGGCATCTTGGGGCACCAGTTGCAAGGGGCGGAGTCAGGGAGGCCTAAGGGAGACTCCTGGCTCCCTCCCTCCGTGTCTCTCAGCCTCTTTGCCCGCCTTGCTGGTGCTGGCTATGTGACTGCTAACCGGGGAGGGGCCTGGCACCGAGCAGGCACTCAACAGCCACCGTGTTTAGTCCCGGTGACTCACAGCGCTGTGGGGGTCGATCTTGGGACGCTCCATGGCAATGGTGATGCAGTTGAGGAAGATGATGACAAGGACCACATGATCGAACATCTTGTGGGTGATGATGCGGTGACACAGGAGGCGGAACCTGCTCCAGGAAGGAAGCAAAGGCTGAGCAGGAAGGAGGCAGGGCAGGGCAGCAGTGAGAGGCACCACCCCTCGGCCCCTACCCCTCCTGGGCCCTCCCTGCCCGAGGCCCTTCTCTCACATGCCCCCCTGTCAGGGGACACTTCTAGCGTCTTCTAGCATCATTGGAATGGCATCATGGGATAGTTTCCTGTGAGGAGAGATCGGGGCGCAGGTCAGGGGGCCCCCCTGCCTACCTTGACTGAGGTGGGAAGATGTAGGCAGACCATGAGTCTCGCTCACGGCAGCAGGCAGGGAGCCGAGCTCGGATCCATGCTCTTAGCCGTTCTGCTTTGCTCTGTAGAAGGATCCCCAGGGTTGTGAGCACGCCAGGCCTCCAGGTTCACCACCCCTCCCCTCTTTCAGCAGCTCCACGTGAGGGCTCACGACCCCTCACTCCTTGTTTACTCTCTCCCATTCTGGCCCAGCCCTCTGCCCTGCTTCCTTTCCTGTATTCCTCAAACCTCCTCCTCATTTCCCTCTAAGCCTCCTCTCAGCCCCTGAGCATCCCTCAGGTCCTTCATCTCCCCCCTCTCCTCCCCTGTACTGTCCCCTCCCCCAGGCTCTCCTCTCTTCTCCCATCTCTGCCTCCAGCCCAGCCCCCTGCCTGCCTGTCCTCCCTCCTTCCCTCCCCACTGGGCTCGGAAGCTGCATCAATTATCAAACATTGTACCCATCACAGCTGTCTGTTCAAAGACACACCTGGGATGAGGAGACACTACCCCTTCTCCTCACATGCTAACCCTGGGGTCCTGGGTCCCTGAGCCTCATCCCCAGGGTTAAAGGTGGCAGCCAGGGGGCTAGGGGAGGGGAGAATGGGTAAGGATGAGAGCGAAATCAAGGCCTGTGATGAGGTTGTGATGAGAGAGGGGGTCAAGGGAGGGCATCAGTTTGGAGAGATGAGTGATGGGTCTTTCTGAGTCACAGGGGGAGGGCCATGAAAGATTCATACACATCTGCCCGGAACCATTCATATCCACCAAGGGCCGCCCAGGCAGGATGAGGATCTGGGGCTCGGCAAGGCGGGCGGAGGGAGAAAAGGGAGTGTTTGGAGTTTGGCTTGCTAGGTTGGCACCCCCTGTGATGCCTTGGGCACAATGCTAGCTCTCTGAATGCCACAGCGCTGGGAGGGGGCTGTCCCGTCCTGCGCCTGGCTGGGCACAGCTCCCCTCGCGCAAGGCCAGGGGTGAGGGGGTCTCTGTGCCCACAAGGGCCTCACCAGGTTGCCTTCATCATCACCATCATCCCCATCCAATGGAGGGTCGTCGGGCAGCAGTGCCCGGGCCAGGCGCCCTGGAGCTGACTTGCCATTGCAGTCCTGGTGCTCAGAAGCCGTGCTGCGACCAGTGGCTGTGCGGTGCAGCCCGGGCACCTGCAGCGTGTCCGGCAGGTCAAAGGAGCTCTTGGCCTCCCGTTCCAGGGAGCCACCATGGCGACAGTGACCACCCGCTGGGCTGGCCTGCTCCTCTTCTGAGCTGTCCTCCTCATCCTGGCTCTCCCGGCCCTCGCCCGATAACAGGGACCGCCGCTCCCCGCTCGGGCTCCTCCGCTTCAGGCTGGAGGCACGGCCCAGGCTGTTCCGGCTGGAGCGCCTGCTGGTCCAGCTGCTTGCTGCGCTCCAGGGACTGTGCGGGGAGCTGCGGGCACTCGGCTGCGGGGTGAGCAGGAGAGGGTGGTCTCAGCCAGGACCATGCAGCCCTGAACCCTACCCCCACAGGCACCCTGTCTCCTGTGAGCCTTCCTGGCTTTGTACCAGGTGTGGAGGTGAGCAGGAGCCCTGGACTCGATGCCTGGGTTCAGATCCTGTCTCACTCTAACCAGCTATATGACCTGGGGCGAGTGACTAAACCTCTCTGTGCTCAGTTCCTCATCTGTAAAACAGATATGATGCTAGCACCTATTCCTCATTAGTTGGTGAGAGAAGTCTTATCATCAGCTGAGCAGTATCATCAAATAACTGTGAGAGCATGGGCCCTGACACCAGCTTCCTGGATTACAAGGCCGGCTCTGTCACCTGCTCGCTGCAGAGCTTCCCACAAATCATTTCGGCAACCTGAGACTCAGGCCCCATCTGTAAAATGGGGATAACAATGGTACCTAGCTCATAGGGTTGCTGTGAGGATTAAATGTGTTTAGGACCCTTGTGAGCAGCATCTAGAACAGTGTCTGGCACAGCATCAGTAGCTGGATGGGGCTTGCTATTATCATGATGAGCTCTTAAGGAGGTAGAGACTCCCCTATTTTACAGAGGTGGCTCAGAGGTTGAGTCTCGCCCAAGGTCCCTCAGAGAACAGAAGACACAGGATTAGAACCCTGATCTTTTGCCTCCAAGGCCAGAGCTCCTTCATCTGCCTGCCTTACCAGCCCTACTGACCACCCGGGGCTTGTCCAGCCCATGGCTCAGCAGCTGTCCCCTTGGGCCTGCCCACCCCTGTCCCCTCTCCTTTCCTGACGTCAGCACACCTCCCACCTTCGGGCCCCTACATGCCACCCCTACCGGTGACTTCATCTCCTGGGCCGTCCCTGGCTCCCCGGACCCGCTGCTGCTGGTGCGGCGGGAAGCAGGGCCCAGTGCCTCAGCCAGGCCGGTGCTGGAGCTCTTGGGCAGCGACATGGGCGTGGCGGCCGTGTGGATGATGAGAGGCGGCAGCAGGCTCCTCGGCAGCTCCAGGTGCTCTCCCAGGGACACCACTGATGGGGGAGAGAGGGAGCGACCCTGTGTCCACTCAGAGTGGTCTCGCGGCCAGGGGCTGCACCCCCAGGATAGATACTCACAGGCCAAGTGCTTCTTCCTGTCCCCATTGCCATCCAGGCTGGGCGAGAAGAAATCGGGCTCTGACTCGGACTTGGTGGCATCTCCCTAGGGTAGGGGAGCATGGAGTCATTAGGGACCTCGCCGGGCAGGGGTCGGCAGGATGGACTGAGGTCTCCCTGTCTTCGCACACACACCACATATAGGCCACAGGAACCAGCAATCACGGCACAAGGCATGCATTGACGGAGGCCAGACCACCCCGGGGCCCTGACACCTCTGCCTCCCTCCAGCCACACCTCAGAGAAGACCACAGCTAAGCCCAGAGCCCACAGCACAACCGGCCTGGCTGAGACTGGCTCCAGGAATGGCTGAGGGGAGAGGGGATAGCTGGGCAGGTTGGTGGCACAGGCCAGAGGGAGCTGGGGACCTGAGTGAAGTGGTCACTAGAGCCTCAGTTCCAAAGGCTGCTAGTGTGCCCTCTGCTTTCCCTCGATGGCTGCCCTTCCCGAGCCTCAGACCCAAGGACCCTGGAAGGAAAGACCCCAGACAGAGCGGCTCAGCCCAAGGATGCACTTCAGAACCTCTCCTTCTTCCCTCCATCTTCCCCAAGCCCCGCCCCTGCCCCAGCCCCATTTTTACCTCTCTCCCTGTCTCGGGGACAGTTTTTTCTTCCTTCTTAGCAGGTCAGTAGGTTTCCCAGTAATTACACACTTCTCCTTAAGAAGTTATTAAAAAATACTTGATTGCCACTTTTGATAAGGACATAAATATTGCGTAATTGGCATCTCGGGGGATCATTTTCATTAACTCAGTTTATATTCCTAACGAGGCCTTTAATTATCAAGTGGGATCTCCAGGGGGCTGCTCGGGAGGCACAGCACCATGGAATCCCACGGGGATCCTGACTTCGCCCTGAATTCTGGTGCCAGCACAAGAAACAGCAGGGCACTAGCTCAGTGTGGGAGCCAGAGGAGGAGCATGCCCCAAAACACTTGCTGGACCTCCTGTGTAATCAAGGGGCCAGAGGCCTGGAAGTGGATTTAAAATTCTGGGACCTTCTGGCAAAAGGCATCTCCCCCGCCCCCACATCCTCCAAAGACTTTGTCCTGAGCTGAGGCAGCTGTGGGGTCTCCAACAGGGGCTCAGGGCAAGGGGGAGGGGAGAGAGATGAAGGTACATGGTCTGTGGCCCAGGTCCTGACTCCACTGAGGCCCTACGACTCGAACTCCGCGGGGACCTCAGCGTAGGCACACACACGCGGTGTACCACACACGTGCACACAGAGGATTCTAAGTCCCTTCCTTCTCCCGTCCATCCACCGGTCTCACAGGACGGAAGGGTGCCCCGTGCAGGTTGATGGGGGCAGAGGGAGGAGGCACCTCCCCTCAATGTCCTCAAGGGGGAAGGGACTTAAAATCAAAGCCAACCTCACGACACCAGTGACCACCACGGCTACCACAGGTTGCACAGCAGCTGAGCGTGAACACGAGCACAGAGACACAGAGACGGAGTGGAGGGGGCACGGGGCACAGGGCGCATGCCGACTCATGATCGCGTACCTACCCCCTGGGAGTCGACAGGCAGCTGAATACAGCTTAACTGTCCACTCGCATCTTCCCGTTTGCTGATTTCCTACAGGGAGAGTGGGAGGCAGGGGATGGGCGCTGGTCACAGGTGCTTGGGCTCTCAAACATCAGCAGTGTCGAAAGGGGAGGGAGAAAAGGAGGGGTGCAGACCCCAAGGGGTGGGGGCAGGATGAGACATGGGGGTGGGAGGAGAAGAAAAGGGACAGAACAGCCTTCCAGAATTCAACCACAGGCCCTTGGGCCAGAATGAATCTGAAGGGTGAGGGCAGAGGCCATGAAGATGGGGCAAGGGCAGGAAAGGAGATGGAGCCCCCCCAGAAATCCTAATAATAACAGCTACCCTTCTCTGGGGGCGTGTCAGGCATGGCGGAAGTGCCTCATTAACACTAAGCTTGCCTCCTCCCAAGGTGGGAGGGAGGTACCGCTGGCTCCATCTTAGAAGAGGCACTGAGGTTTGGAGACGTTAAGGAAACTGCCCCAAGTCACAGAGAGAGTAAGAGGTGCAGCTGGGTCTCACACCTGAGTCTCCAGCTTGCCTCTCCCTGGTTGCGAGGCAGCGGGCTTGGGGAATGGGCAGGAGGGCAGGAATGAGGAGCGGATGGAAGTCAGAGGCTGGGGAGGCGGCAGAAGGCCAGGAGCAAGAGCAGGCGTCCTAACTCTCATCCACTCTGCCTGCATCCCTCCAAATCAGAACGGGGCCAGCTGCTCCTACTGGGATGGGATGTGACAAGTAACACTGAGAGGACGGCTATGATGTTGTTTCCTATCAATTAACGGCCTCATACCAGGCCTGCTGCCTGTTCATTTAATTAAGTGTGTGGATGATAAATATACAAGGATTCAGGGTGCTGCCCCCTGCAAGTTGGGAAATCAACAGCTGAGCAGGCCTGGCCCCCTGGCCACCCCCTCCTACCTCCTGGCGGGGTGGCAAGGCCAGCAGGGAGCTACCCTTGAGGCTGCCTACTGGTGAAACCCAACAAAACGGGGCAGGCACTTCCTCCACTGAGGCGGGTTGTCTCGTTTGTAAAATAAACCTCGCCGGATTGTGGGGCTCCCTCAGAGCCACAGGTGCGGCCCCCTGAAACTCTGTACAGGAGAGGGCAGGGGCCTCTGGAGGTGTCCAGGTCTCTGGCATTAAGTGACCAACCCCCCCATCCAGGTGTTGGCCTACCACATGCAGGACAGTGAGCAGCTGGTCCAGCCCCTCACCTGGGCACTTCAGGGCCAGGCCACTGCCCATCCCCATGGAAAGGGGTTGATCCTGGAACCCTTTCTTTATCCCACCCCAGACCCAGGCATCACATTCTGAGTGAGACCCACCCCTCCAGGCCCCTGCGCTCTGAAGGTTGAGGATGCTGTGGCCCCAGACCCTGGCTGAGCCCTCAGGCTGGGGCAGCCACAGGCCCCCAGCAGGGCCAGAGTGACCAGGCCTGGCCAGAGGGCCGGGCTGCTCTCTGTTCCCACACGCAGACTCTGCCGCTGCTTAGCAACCAGCCTGCTCAGTAGCACTCAATTTAACAAGGTGTTTGCTGAAAGGGCCAGTGGTGGGGAGGGGGCTGTCTGCGCGGCGCACCCCCAGGACTGCCATGGTGGCTGAACAGCCAGTTGAGGGGAAGGGAATAGGCTCGGGAGTCCTCCATTTCCCTCCACAGATTTCCACAGGAATTTTTCTGAGGGAATCTTAGTCGTCAGGAGCTGTGGTTTGGAAGGGGCTGAAGGACCCTGTCCTCACGCAGCTCCTCCTCCCACAGGCCAAGAGCAGTGGCTGAGAGTGGCAGGTCTCCACAGAGACCCTGGTTCTTGTGGGAGCATGGTGTCACCCCTTAACCCTTCAGGCCCCAGGGAAGCCCCAAAGAAGTGTCCCGTCCCACGGAGAGTGCCAACATCCCTCCCTCCCTGCAAGAGGTCCAGCCATCACCATGGGCAGGGCCAACCTCCCCCACCAGCTGCCCTCACTGCCGCCCAGCGGGGAGGAAGTGCGATAATAGATAACTACAGAATTGCAACGGAAGCCGGAGAAGGCCAGTGCGGGACTGCACCCGCACGCCACCAGCCCAGCCCGGCCCACGGGAACAGCCCTCCCTCGCAAGGCTGGGAAAGAGTCGAAAAATAGATTTTTGTTTTTCCACCGTGTGCTAGGTATTTATAGACCAGGCCGCAGCGGGAGTTTCCATCCGGGTCACCCGAAGAGAACTGGACCAAGAGCTTCTCCACTCCCAACCTGGAGCATTTCTAGGCTGGGTCAACGTGACCTGTGCGAGGTGCCAGGACACCGGGCTGGGCCTGGGGCTCAGGTGGGAAGAGGGGCAGAGCTGCGAGAGAGGAGGCGGGTGCAGCCCTTCAGGCAGAGGCTGTGTTCTGGCATGGCAAGGGTGGGATCAATGTAAATCAATATTAATTGATGATGCCGCCTGTGACGAAGGTGATGGAGCCTAGGCTGGAAATAGGACGCTCATCTTTGCCATGCCTGCAGCTAATTGGGCTCATTTCTCACCCTAGGCAGCTCAGCCCTGCCCGGGCCCTGGTGGCATCTTCATCAGCTCAGCCAGAGCTCAGATGACTTGCACACAAGCTTCCCCCACCCCTAGGCTCAGATGGGTCCTCTCTGGATACCCCCAAGAGCACCTGTGCTCAGGGATCCAGCTGCACCACGTGCCAACACTTATCCTGTCCAGCTCTCTGGGGAAGGGTCTAGCTGACTTTGAGGGGGATGCCCAGTCGGCAGCTAACCTGGGACCCAGGGACCCCATAGGACCTGTCTCCTGAGTGCTGAGGGCTGCCTGAGACCCTGAGCCTCCCACCCCTGGACACTCTGCTGCCTAGTTTGAAGGGCGCTTTCTGCGGGACATCCCAGGCCGCCACAGTGCAAGCTGGGCAGTGGATACCTCCTAGAAGTGGACTGTTGTGGGTAGGGGGTTACCTCTGCCTGGAAGCCCTCCACCAGGATGGCGACAAGCAGATTAAAAAGCACGTAGTTGCCAAAGGTCATGAGGGCGATGAAATAAAGGGCAGCCCAGGACGACGTGGAGGCCATTCCGTTGTACAGCACCTTGTTCCAGTCCTCCTGTGTCAGGATCTGTGGGCAGAGGACAGGACAGGAGTCAGGGCCTCTCCCGGGGGTACCACCCCACTCCCTCACCCCTGCCCTGTTACCCTCCCACCTGAAAGACGGTGACGATGGCCCAGAGCAGGGAGTCAAAATTCTTCCGGTCCGGCAGCGTGTCCCCGTCCCGCTCAGATGCAAATTTGCAGCCGAAGAGATGCATGCCCAGGATGCTGAAGACACAGGAGCCACAAGATGGGGGTCAGGCCCCAGTACCCCCTGCCCCTCGGGCCCCTCTCCCGGCCGGCAGAGATGCCGCACCTGCCCTCACCTGAAGATGAAGATGAAGAGCATGAGCAGCATGCAGAAGGTAGCCACGTTGTCCATGGTCTTCATGAGCACCACGAGCTGCCGCTGTAGCGCCGGCAGGAAGCGCACCAGCTTCAGCACCCGCATCAGGCGGAAAGTCCGCAGCACCGACAGGCCGCCCCCCTGCTGGCCCACGATCTCCCACACACTGCGAGAGAGGGTGGTCTGAGTCCATGCACACTTGCCCTCCCCCTGTCCCTCCCTTTGAGAGGGCCCAGCAGCACCTGAGGGCCTGGACTGGCCGGCACACCATGAGAAAGTGGGGCACAGATGGGCCCTCGGGCCTCCAGGCAGGAGCCTCCAAGATGGCAAGGTTTTGCGTGACAGCTCCAGCCCTCTCCACCCGCCCCTCCAGGCCGGAGATCACATCCTGGCAATGGACAGCCCTCTCCCTCAATCCAGCCAACGCAACAGCATCAAGTTATAGAATATTTGCTTTGTTCCTTTCTAATGAAATCTAAAACCAATTCCAAAAAGCAATAAAGCAGTTCTCCTGGCCCCAGGCCTGGGGGCACAGAGCACTTTCCCAAGGTCTTGGAAACCCTAAAGCAAGTCGCTGGCATCTGAGATGGTTTCCAAGCACTTTGCAAGCAAGGACAGCTAACTGGGCCTCATTCCTTCTCCAGCTCCTCTCCAAAGCCAACTCCCCAGTCCTCACCCACCCCAGGCCTGTGTCGGGTAGAGGATAAGGAGCAGAAGTGGGGAGAGGAGACTGCAGAGGGGCCCAGCCAAAGGACATGTGAGGCCAAGCTCTGCCTGAGCAAGCTAGGGCCGAGGGAGAGGATAGAGTAGAGTGTGGGGGCACAGAAAGGCCGCTCCTGGGGGAGTGGCAGGTCCTGTGGGTCAATGGCGCCTGACTCCAGACCCCTCCACTCCAGAGGAACAGGCTGCATGGCTCCGTGCTCCAAGCACAGAGAGAGAGAGTAGAGGGGCAGTTATACCTGATGACAACAATGACGCCATCGAAGATGTTGTAGGGGTTCTTGATGTAGCCAAAGGGACCGTACACGAGCAGCTTCAGCAGCATCTCCAGGGCAAAGAGGCTGGTGAAGACGATGTTGCTGATTTCCAGGGCGTTGGTAAGCTCCTCGGGCTGGAGGGTAGGGTAGGGTATGAAGCAGCTGCAGCTTGTCCCTGAGCCCCTCATGTCAGTCCTCCCAAACACGGAACCGCAGGGAGAGGAGGAGCAGGAACAGCAAGATGGGGGAGGGGCCCATGGTGGTGCTGGATGCTCAGGCTCATGGGGAGAACCCTCCCCGATAGGGTCCATGAGGAAATGCATTCAGGGGCAGCCACCACACAAAACCCTCGGCCCCCAGCCCTTCCCAGCTCTGGGTCTCAGATCCTGGGGCCACAGCCTCACCTGAGGCTTGTGCTGTGGGTTCTGCCCACCTCCTGCTGGGATCTCCGAGACCCATCCTGTCCTTTGCTGACATGTCAGCTCGTGGGCCCAGGCTAGCAGCGCTGGTGACAGTGCTGGCCAACGTCACAGGGCGATTGCCAAGGCCTCACGCGCATACCCAGTCACACAGCCACACGCAGTCACACGTGCTCTACAATTACTCTCTGGACTTGGCAGCCTTCTCTTGAACAACTGTTAGCTACACTGCTTCCTGCCAGACACACGCACACACAAACACTCACACACACATACCTATGCATACACACACAAACACACACGTGCACACAAACACGTGTACAAGCATACACATGCACAAACACACTCACACAAGTACACACACACACGCACACATGCAAACATGCTTACAGGCAGAAGGGAGACCCCAAGACTGGTTGTCATAGACGAGGAGGCACCTGAAGCTGCTACCTGAGACTAGGACCCCTGGGTTAATTCTCAGCCTATCTTATCAACTCACTGTGAGACCTTCAGCAGGATTCGCAAACTCTCTGGCCAAACATAAAACACTGGAGGTAATTATTCTTATGCCCCTACCTAGGGCCTGGCACTGGAACCAAGGACATATCCAAGAGAGGTCATCAGAACTAATGACAAACTTGATCTCATCTGCTGTTCCAGCTCACTAGTCACCCCCTCCTTCCTCCTCCTTTCATTATTTTTTTTTCCTTTTTTCTCCCCAAAGCCCCCCAGTACATAGTTGTATGTTCTTCATTGTGGGTCCTTCTAGTTGTGGCATGTGGGATGCTGCGTCAGCGTGGTTTGATGAGCAGTGCCATGTCCGCGCCCAGGATTTGAACCGACGAAACACTGGGCCGCCTGCAGCAGAGCGCGCGAACTTAACCACTCGGCCAAGGGGCCAGCCCCCTCCTTTCATTATTAAGTGCCTACTGCATGCCTAGCAATGCACCGGGTATTACAGGAGCTGCACAAGCATGCCAGCCATGCTCCCTGCTCCCAGGAGCCCAGAGTCTAGCTGGAAACAAGTTGTACACACACAAAACAGCTGAATAACCACAAGAGGCCTTAGATGCTTCAGAGCCAAAATAAATTATCCAGACAGTAAATCCAAGAGTTCAGGGGAGAGAAGGCGAGGGAGGAGCACACGGGAAAAGCCCGAGTTGGAGGCAGCACTTGAAATGAACTCTGAAGAGTGAGTGAGGTCTCGGAGAGAGACGGGCAGGAAGACAGCATGGGTCGAGCACAAGGAATGAGCCTTGTTTGGGGAAAAAGGGAGAGTCAGTGGGGGCTGAGGGCTGGGGATACAGGGTAAGATATAATTGGTTCAATGTAGCCCACTGCCCACCTGATGGGGTGTCTTGATCACCCAAAAGCCCAAAGTCCATAGTAGCCGCTCAAGAAGTATGAGTTAAATAAATAACCAAACGAAGCCTTAGTCCGTCAGACACCTCCCCCTGTTTACCCAGCTGCCTCCTCTGGCTGGCTGCCCAGGTAGGTCACCCAAGCATGGAGCCAGGCCCTGGGCACCACCAAATGTATCCTAATGGCCCCAATCCATGTGGCCAGCCTGGGCGAGAAGTGGGGAGAGCTGGTAGGAAGGGCCTTTTGACTGGTGGGTGGACATGTGTGGGGTCAATGGCTACTCAGAAGGAGACCAGCTCTCAGCTTGTGCATGGATTCTTTCCAAAGGCAGGGCCCAGGGAGCAGAGCCAGGATCAGCAGGCAGGGCCTCGAGCCAGCTGTCCAGAGAGTGAGTGGCTGTCGTGTGGGCTGGTGTGGCATGGAACCCATTGCTCTAGCAGATTTTGAGCGAGTCTTTGCTCCCCAGACTGCGAGTAGGGACAGGAAGAGGACTGTCACCTGACCTTGTGAAGGGGGTCACAGAGATAAAACCTTTAGTCCCTCCACATGAGCATGGAGCAGGTGGTGGCGAAGGGGCCATTGGCATGACAGATAAAGCCCAGGGCTCAGACTCCTCCTGACTAAGTGGGCCCCCCCACTCTGTGCTCTCAAGTCCAGTCTGCTGGGGAAGCCATGGTCAGTGAGCCTGCCTCCCGGTCACTCTGCCACCTGCCCTGCTTCCTATCCTTGCATTGGATAAAGATGATGAGCACAGACCACACAGGTGTGACGCTGTGCAGTTCCCTGGCTCACCATGTGTGTCACCTCATGCCATCCACACAACAGCCATCACACCCTCGTTTAACACAGCAGAAGAGGTCAAGAGATGGTGAAGGACTCATTCAAAGTCACAGGGCGAGGAGAACCAGAGAGTGGGCCCCAATCCCACCTCACTCTGATTCCAATACTAGATTGTCAGGATGCAAACCGCACCCGGGGGACAGCGGGGAGCCCATGAAGCCAGACACGTGCATGGACTGAAGACCTCATGTGTCTTCTAATGTCTATAAAATGATATTTCACATGAGCACAGATGGACGAATGAAGAACAAGTCGATGTGAAAGCACAGCTGAGGTGCACTAACAAAGAGGGGCTTTTATGGCGCATAAATTATACCCCAAAAAAGCTACCAAAAAGAAAAATTAATCAAACGTTTTTTTAAAAAGTAGCTGAAAGCACTGTAGCTTTTTGGATCACATATTTAGTCAATCAGTGGATCATAAAAGTACAATAACTGCTGGGCGTGGAGAGGGAGGGTGTTCTAGTCATTTCCTGGTGTTACGGACGACAGGGTTGCTGCAGCCTGAACCCAATGGCTCACAGACACACACATGCCCCACTCACCTGCACACCAACCAAGAACCTCATCAGAAGGGGTGGTGGTGGTGCAGGGCGCCCCCCAGGCCTGCATCACTGTCCTTGTCAAGGGGGAGCGGCAGCAAAGGCTGGAGTCCCCACCCGGCCAGTCCAGGCAGCTCCAGGACTGTAGAAGCCGGTAGAAAGGAGGGCCGGGCACTCTTCTGGGCCTGCCCTCGCCCACCTCACTGCACACACTTAGGAGCAATGCCCCTTCCCTTCCAGGGCCTCCGTATCCCCCGTGATCCCTGGGAAAAAAGCCTTCCCCCGCAGACAGCCAGGTCTGTCCAAGTTACTAAATCGGAGGCTGGGAATGTTCCGCAAACTCAGGATGAGGACGCAGAGACACAATCTTAGCAACACGGTTGCCCCAGGGACCAGAGCTGCGGTCAGGGCCACTGTAGCTGAAAAGGGACAGGGAGGGAGCCAACTTCTGTTACTACCCTCCACGGCCCCGCACTGTGAATACCTTCCTCCCAGGACTTCATTTCCTCCCTGCTCACAACTAAACAAGGGAGGGACAGGAGCCTCCTAGATGGCCGAGGAAACCGAAGCTCTGAGAGGTATGGTAACTTCATGGAGGTTACACCGCTGGCTTAGACAGGTGCAGAGCTAGGTCTGCCTGGACTTTCCTCTGCATCTTTCCACACTGCTGCCCCCTCTACCCTGACAGCCCATCAGACACACACAAGCCCATCAGGGGTTACCAGCCTCCCCTCACTGACTCTCCCCTGCTGCCAGGAAGTCCTTTCTCAGGTCCAGACTGCATCCTCCCTCCTGTTCACAGATGTCGAGGCCCAGTGGGGGCTTCAGCGAGTTGAGGCCTGGCAGCCTGAGTTTCTCCCACCCAGAGGCCCCAGGCTCTTCTCTGGGCTGACGCTAATTGTAAATTTCCCATCTTCCAACACTTCCCTTCCCCTCAGCCTGCCACCTGGAACAACTGCGGCCCCAGCTAAGCTGCTAAGCTGTTCAGTACTTCCCAGCACCAGGCCCCTGAAACTTACAGCACCTCCATCACCCAGCCCTTAAAGAGCCCACAGTGTGCACACCCTGGTGGTACAAGGTGGAGTTGAACCTGAACGCAGGAGGCCTGCCAACTCTGAGACTTCCGACCTGTGTGACCTTGGGCGAGTCCCTTAACATCTCTGATCCCCGGTGGCCTCCTCTGTAAAACAGAGTAATACTACCTCATGGCAAGTCTGCTCTGCAGAACACAGGAGTTAAAGCCTGTGAAAACGCCCAGCCCAGAGCACGCTCAGGTGGCCCTGTGGGCACTGCCAGTGGAAGCAGGCCTCAAACATGGCAGGAGAAAGAGCCTGCAAGGCTACAACCAAGCACCACGCTGGGGGTCAAACCAGGAGCACCCCAGGAGCTCAAACCCAGCGGAGATGAGTGGGCCAGTGGGGCAGGCATCCCCATCTCGGGGCAGCACGAGCAAAGGTGCCGAGGAAGGAGGGTGCAGGGACCAAAAATCAAGTGGTCTGCCCTGGTTACAGGGTGGGAGGGACCCGTGGGGGACAAGGTTGCAAGGTCAGCAGGGCCCAGGCAGAATGGCCTTGACTCTGCTCCATGACGCAGGCTGGACTTGCCTCTGCCCGCAATGTTGCCATTGAGGCTTCTGAGGGAAGGGAGGAGATGTGCAAAGAAGTGTATTAAGAAGATTAATCTGGCTGCAGTGGTGGCAGCATGCAGAGGGCTTGGAGAGACCAAGAGATGGAGACCAATTAGGGGATACTGCAGCGGTCCAGGCAGGAGGCCTGAGAGCCAGCTCTGGCTAACAGTGACATGCAGGGAAGTCTCAAGGGGGTGAACAAGCCAGACCAGAGCTGAACGGAAGCCTGGACGAGTCACCCCAGCCCTGCCCAAGCGCCACTCCCACCCCCATCTCCTCAGCTCCCACTTGCTCCACTGACCCTGAAATCTCTGCTCCTCAGCTCACCTCACTTCTGCTTTTGAC